GTATTCATGTGGATGAAATATGTAATTTCATGGGAATCCCACTTTAATTTAGTGTGAATTAATGTCCACTTATTGAAAAGTACCACATACATTGATATTTCTAGAGGAAAAGAACAACAGTCACGATGCATTTTAAACTGTAGCCTAAATGACCTGGGTGATGGTAAACAACCACCAAAGGAACATCACTGCAGGTAAAAGAAAGTTATCTTAAAAGGAGTTTGTTTCAAAGTTCATTAGATCAGATGGCAGCCTGGCTTCTATGAGCAGGTAAAGCACATGTGAGTGAATGAGGGGACTTCTCTCTCCTCCTTGCCCTAGGGAAGAATGGTATGAATATGCAGAGTGAAGAGAGAACAGAAGCAGAGGTGCATTCCTAGATGCTCAAGAAAGCAGTGCAAAGCCATCTGCTGCTTCTTTTTGATGGAGTGCCTGAATGGACATGCCTTCCAATTGGCTTCAACAATAAATTTCACTGAGAGAAGCAGCACTGTCCATCCACTTTTCTCTAGGCAGTATTTTAGCAATGGATTAATGTTTGGAGATAGTTGACCCAAAGATTGAGCAAGTAGAGAATCTGTGGATGGGATGACTTGGCCTCAGTTTCTCTGACCTAAGAAATGCAGCTTCCTCCTTAAGAAGTGCTGTGCCCTTTCTGGAGGTGAAGTAGGATATCACTTAATCTAGCTATCAAATATATAAATGGAACATACATATATACATATGCATGCTTCATAAGTGAGACAGTGAGGGGGAAAAAAGGAACTTCTGACTATAACAAAAGATTCATTAGGAAAAATGAACTAATCAGTGCTCTCCAAGGAGAAATTCATTCTGTTTAGGAGGCCGTACCCTCTGCTGCTGCACATACTTAATATAATTTATATTATTATTTAAATCACTGCGTAAATTTTAGATACTTTTAAAAATCAAGTTAATGGACCATACTTTACTGCTTATCATCATTTATATCAAGAATTAGTAGCTGTGGAGATAAAATATGTGAAGACAATGGAGAAAATGCAAACAAGCAAATATCATAAAATTCACGTGTAGCATGGGTATGAAATTCAACCACAGAAATGAGCCCTTGGGAAAGTTCAGTGTTGTGTGGTACAGACTTTAAGCCATGTACACTGTGTTTCAGTATAAGGTGTTCTTAAAATGGCTTGTAAGGACAGGGGCAACCTCCCAGGGCAGAGCATTTCTTCCGCCAGGAAGTGTCTTCCTCTCCTTGCTTTGGATACAAAGACAGGCAAGAATACAGTGCAGGCTTCTCATAACCTTAAGTGAAAGTAAAGAAGGCAAATTAGGGAATTCTTGGGGAGAGCACAGACACCTCTAAGGACTGCTTAGGAGCTGAAGAAAGGAGCTTAAGGTACTCTAAGCAGGCACAAACTAGAAACAAAGAGAGAAAGAAACAGAGAAAGATAATAAGAACCTGAAAGAGTGAGAGGATTCTGGCAGCCGAGATAAATTCAGAGCCTTCTGTTGTGGGCTCATTAAAAGGCGGAAAATATTCCCTAAAAATGTCTTACCTGTACCAGGCAATAAAACAGCTGTGCATCATTGCTTCCTTCAGGTTAGCTGTGCTGTATTTCATTCCACTGTGTGCTCGCAGCCAAGAAATGTTGACAGGAAGCCCAGTTTGTGAAGCTTTGACACACAGTCTTTCACAGCCCCCAATTCCTGTCAGTGTCACTGCAGCTTGTGTCACTGGAGGGAGCACCGTACAGACGGGACAGCACGATGTCACCGCACAGTGCCACAGCAGCCTCAGGGGAGATGGGAATCGATGGGCAGCATGCAGGACCAGGGTTAGCACTCACTTATAATGTATTAACTATACTTGTCTAACTTATTTTATGACTGCTCTGATAGAGCACGGGAATCTAGGTAGCGAGAGAGCAGTGTAGCCCATGGAGAAGCATGTTATGGAACAAAAGACCCAGAGTAGAGTTTGGGAGGTGTGAGAGGATCGTGGGAGGGCTGCGGTGGGGTCTGTGCCCCCACTCTGAGGGCTGAGTAGTCAGTCTTGTGGAGAGAAGGTGGGAAGGATTCTTCAGATTTGTGCATTACTTTCTGACCAGTTAATTGCATGCCATTCCATAAGGTGTGGTCTTGAGTGAGAAAAACAGTTTAGAGCTGAGAACTCTTTGTTTTGGCATCTGGTAACTCAGGCCTAAACTCATCTGTCTTTCATATTCCCTCATTTGCAGTCTGTTTTCTTTCTGCCTGGCTTGTAAACTTTCTGCTAAGTGAAAGAAGTTGTGAGTTATTTTTCAGGCATGGATCCCTTGCTGCTGCCACAGTGCAAAGGATAAAAAAGTAAGCTGTTATTAGCAGAGACAAATTTGGGCCCCTGGCATCTTACAGCCCTGACAAAGTAGCTGTGGTGAAAGCCCAATTTTAAATAGAGCAGATGGCCACGTATTGCCACCTCCTCTTTGCATTCACTAAACTTATGTTCTGCCAAAGGAAGAAAAGCTATTTTACTTATGTGCTGGCCAAATGATTTCCTCTTAGTGTTGTTGTTTTTTGTTTTTTTCTCTTTGGCAAATGCAAATCATATTTTGTAAGGCTCTATTTTACCATGCAGTTTGTAACCTACAAAGTTACTTCATTCCTGAATACGATGTTGGATAAAATTGTTTCCTTTCAAAGGAAAAAAAAAAAAAAAAAAACCCCTAAAAATGATCTTTGGGTCTGCTCATTTCAGGTAACAGTAATTATCTAAATTATTACTATGGTCAAATTATTAGTTGCTGCCCAAATGGCTGCCTGCACTGTTAGGTCACCTGGCACTTCTGTATGAGCATTTTTATTGCCTAAGCATAAATAATTGTCATTCCTGATGAATTCTCAAACTGCTGCCTCAGATGCTCCTTATGCATCATCTGTGTATTACTCAGGCTCTGAAACTAAACAGGTAGATTGCTCACAGCAACACATTTCATCCATGTCCTTTGGTTTCAGATGCAGTGTGCACCTCCAGCTGTCCAGGAGCATCTCCATTACCCAGTGTTGTGGTACAGCAAATAGCATTCTGGCCTCAGTGTTCAAGCAGTAGATTAGTGACAGCAGTAGGCAGACAACTTTTGTCTCCAGGGAATATTAGAAATCTAGAGCTAGAAATAGATGGATTAACTCAAATGCAGCTCAACCTCTGATCTACATTATTGCCTCTCTTCTTTATCTCACAAGGGAAGCAGAGATAAAGAGTGATAGACACTGATAATGATGGAAGTCCGTGATAATACACCGAAGTGATAAACTTCTTTGTGGCCCTCATTGTGCCCAGTTGTCTTCAGCTGGTTATGAGCTCTAGCCTCAAGCTATTTACACCATGATCAGGCTAGTAATTAGCAAAATGTTTAATATAATATAGAAGCAATTAGGAGGTGATAACATGCAATTAAGATGTGTTTTCAGATTAAAGATTTTATAGTGCTCTCTTTCTTGAAAAGATAAAGTGCCTATCTCAAAATGTCAAACTGCAGTGATTTAATCTGAGTTATTTTCAATTAATATGCATGTATTCTTGCGATGTGTTCACCGTTGTTATTGACATTGATAAATTAAGCTCATCCCAGCAGAATTTATCCTTGAGTCGCTCTATATTTCCTGAATGTCAGTTCTTTATTCGTATTTTTTTATGCCTACAAGCTGTGCATGATCTAACTCTAAGTCCCTTGATTCATCCCTGGGATTACAGTAATGTGTCAGTCTGAGTGGAACAATAATCTGAAAGGGCATTGTTATAAATAGTGTGTTAGAATATAATTGTTTGTCATGTCGTTTCTCCCCTTTAAATCCCTCTGAGTCCTGTTTAAGTAATTTAGACAGCTAGAATGACAAGAGTCTTGAGACTTCACTTATAGAGTTGTCCAACCAGTCTTCAGCCTACTCTGTCTTTTGAGACTGTCTCATCTGTGAAGTAGGAAGTGCAAACAACAGATGAGTTCCAACTACACTGTGAATTTGTTATTAGATTTTACTCAGGCCAATTATAGAGTAATGTAAAAGCTCCTGATTCTAATTTTGCCCTGACTAGTCAATAGAAGTGCTTAGACAATAGGTGCTAGGGTATTTCCTATCATTACTGCAGAAGTTACAATCCCCAAGTATTGCAATTCGTATACTGGTGTTCAGCATCTGAAGGGGAGGATATATTTTTTTAAGATTTTTTTGATACATTTTCTAATCATATGGAAAAAAGTATCTGAGGCAGGACAGGTAATTCTCTGTATGGAGCCAGCTTTTTACCAAAAGCAATGAATCATTTCCAAGAAAAAAAATTACTAGAAATTACACTTTCTTATTAAATCATCCAGTACAGTTTTTGGATCATACAGAACTTTAACTTGTGACATGTTTTTTTGGTCTTCAGTCTGTTCTTTCAGATCTTTTAAGCCGTTCCAAGCAATGAGGTGTCCAGACATCAAAGAATTTGCATACAGCACGTATCAGATGTTTTTTCTCAATTTAACCATACTTTCCATCTCTGCTAAATAATGTCCCCATATGATTAATGCTAACACTTTTAAAATATTTGCATTTATCTTTTCTTTTGTTCTTTCTCGTATTCATTTAGAGATTTTGTTTGTACATGGTTGCAAAAGGGTAAGTTAGCTGACAGTCATTGCTCAGCAAAACAGATCAGACTGTATTTGGTTTTGAGCCATCCAAAACCACAATTAAACACTGTGGAGGCCATGGATTTAGTGAAGTAAGGTGATACAGCTCTTCACTTCAGCTTATGCTGACTGACCAGTGGCTGATAGCGTGCAGTCAGCCAACCCAGTTCTTTTCAGGCCTGTTTAAGCATATTGGCATTTGACAGCCCATGAATCATTCTTGGTCAAAATGTGCATACTTGATTCTTGCCTATAAATAAATATAGTGTCTCTCAAGTATGTCACTAATGATAGAATGAAGTTACGCTCTTGAATGTTATCTGTGAGTGTTTCACTGTCCTGCCCTTCACCGTTGCTTTGCAGGCCATTTAAAAGATGAGCAAGAACAAACAACGTGATTAAAGGGTGCTGCCGAAAGCTGTACAGGTGTCAGCTGCCACCACTGCTCATTACACAGATGAAGCTGTCAACTTTTAATTTATAGACAATTTGAGAAGGGGTACATGAAGACTTGAAAAGAAGGCTTTCTTTCGCTAAAAGGAAAAAAAGAACTGTTATAAGAACCTCTGCTGAAATGCACTGGTAAGTAGGTAGATATCTCACTGTCATCGTCCCAACAGGAAATCCCACTCTAGGAGTGAGATTTGTTTTATTCAGATGATTCAACCCAAAAGCACTGAGGTCAGATAGAAAGCATTATAATGTAGCTGGCAATTCCCAACAGCCTGGTTTGTTCTGGATCAGTACCAGGGATGTGAGGAGTTATGTCCTGTTTTTTGGAGAAAGTCGAATGAGAGGGACTTATAATGTTTCCTTCTTCTGATGAGGTAACTCTGTGAAAACAGCTTTGCTTGGTGGAACACAGGTATGGCTGTGCCCTCACTGCCCTGTGGCTGGAAGCAGGGGGGGAGATGTCTACAGAGAGGAGAGCGAATGGGATGAATATCCCAGCCTCCCAGCTTGATGCAGCCTTGCATGCTTCAGCCAGACTCCTGGTGGAGTGGGTCATCTGGACTCCAGTATGTGAGGCTCTGGATGATGGGATTCCTTGTATACTGGGAAAGTGATGTGAATGCCAGAATCAGTGGATTTTTACAAAGATCACTCCATCTCTCATGCTGAAGCTCAGAAAAGCCTCTCAATTACTTTGTTTTCTTTCCCAAATAAGTAATGCAGAAATCCAGAGGTGCTAAAGGAGGTAGTAAGTCAGTCAGGGTGTATAGAACTAAAAAAAAAAAAAACAACGTAAATGTGTTCATGCCACTGGGATATCACCTGAGAGGGGTATTTCTGTTCTGGATTTGCCTCTAGCTACAATTATAAGACCATCTGTATAGTATATGTTTGTTTAAAATTTTTCTTTACAGGCACTCCATCAGTGTCATATACAGAGCTTACTGAATTACACCACTCACATATTTAATAACAAATCCTTCCAGAAACTATTATGGATTTAAGTGTGATTATAGTAAGAATATCCAATAGCTACTTTAACTTATACGAATTCCAATTTTGCAGAGCTGTAGACTTAATTATACTGTAGCCTAGATAGATATCAGTTTTAGTTGTGCTTCCAGCAACTTCTTTTACTTTTGACCAGAAATGATGCGCATTACAAAATTTTCTCAAATGCTGTTATGATTATTACATTACCCTGCACAACCGAGAAAGGAAATAATGTTAGGAGTGATTTTCACTTGCTGCTTCTCTGGGTTAATTTCTACCCTAGTGAAATTAGAATCAGGCTCAAGACTTCACACAAAGCTTCCTTCCTGTGTGACATAGCAGGAAAATTCTAAATTTCCACTTGATCAGCAGTGTCAGATGGTAAAAGAAGAGATGGTATTCTTTTTCTCTTGTGTTTGTTTCTCTGTTTCTGCATTTATGTAGTGCACATTTAAGAAAAGAGGAAAACAGATTTTTGCAGAGCTACCTTTGAACCTTAGAGTTGCTTTACAACACTTATTGCATTACTAACAAGCCACAGGTGTACACTACAGGAGCGGGTGAAAATGTAATTGAGGGGTATGATGACAGTTAATTGTCCATAATGTATTTATCCCAAGATGCACTTATGCATCTGTTATATATTTAGGTATTTGTTACTAGTAGCTTTGGTGATACTTAAGCAGAGGGGCATCTATATCTAAAAGACAATAAAAAAGGAAAATGCTATCAAGGGGCTTTAAAGTGGCAAGACAAAGAAAGTTCGTCTCTTTTTCGCTGTCTCTGAAATGAATAGGTCTATTTATTTCAATGGGATTTTTTTTCCACATGCCATATTAAGGTTTGAGTACAAAACACTTGACACTGTTTCTGGGCGTGCTATGTGTCTGAATTACATGACTACCTGCAAATATTTTAGTAGAGAGATATTTTGATATTTGCCTTTCTAGTGTAGTTTCTTCTCTGCTTCAGCTAATTGTTGTTCTACATCAGTTTTGCACAATAGATTTAAGTAGTGTCTGTTCACCCACTGACACACAGAGGATTTATGTGTGGGAGTAAGCCACAAACTTCCCCTTCTCTTTACTGCCTCCCTCATGCATGCCTTAAGAATAGATGTGATAATTAGTCATCTACTTTTATCTATATTTGTATGCCATCCAGACATCTTGTCTTAAGATAAGAACATCAAGTAGCTGTATCAAATCAGTGTCCTGCATCCAAAGCATGGTGGCACAGCTTAGATGACTGAGGGTGATTACCCATTTTCTGGGCCTGCTTCTACTCTCTGTGAAGGCAACAGCAAAACTCCCATGAGGGCCAGCAGGGAGAAGAACCAAGCTTCAAAAAATGAGGTTATTTCTTTTTGAGTTCGCTCAGCAGGAGTCACACAATTGAAACCAAACTGCATATCTTTAAAGTCCAGTGTAGATCAGGTTAGTAACAACATCATTTCAGGACAGCGATGGGTTCCGAGCAAACACTCTGTGATAGTTCATGCATTCCAAAACTGATGATGTAAACAGACAAGCTGTATGAGATGCCATAGCAGAGATGGGATCCTAACCCCATTCTGTAGTGAGTCATGTTCCTTAAAAATGTAACTTTGCCATCACAGCTCATCTTGCCATGGCGCTGGTGCTGCATACTGATTTGCTCGGCTCCCGTCAAGCGTTACCCGCATTTTGTAAGGGGGACATCAGTCCAACTCTATATAAGATCAGGGCCTGTGTAACCACATTATCTTAAAAGCACACAACTCAGTTCGTGTCAGAAGCTGTTTGCTACATTTGAAATTGGCTAAACATTAACATCTTAGAAATATTATCTGAAGTCGCTGAACACTGATATTAACCTGCTGCATGCTTGGAGTGCTATGATAAAAATTCAGTTGCTGTGGTAATTGTTATATTATGTTCAGAAAAGTGCCAAGAATATAATTGCTTGCAACATGACTGCAGTTCAGCTTTAATCTACATGGCAAAATTGTTTACTGAAATAAAAAATTAAAAATAATAATCTGAATTTTTGCATAAACAAATATATCCAGAAGCAGACTCTTTATTAAACTTTTAACACCAAAATTATGCTTATACTTTATTAACCAGACACTATTTGTAACACCTACTGCTGGTTAAAAGCAAAAGCAAAAAGCACATAAGACCCAAGAAACCCCAACAAAAAACAAAAGCCCAAAACACAACAAACCCAAAACCACCAGAGGATGATTTCCTTAAGAATGTTCTCTCAGGTATGTTCAGAATATTAATGAGGCCCATCTATTTCTGTGGGATAATAACAATGTCCAAGAACTGAATAGAATCTGTGACCTGTGAAAGGGCCATTCACATGCTTTAGTCTGCCTTAGCACATTCCTTAACAAGTGAACATAGACCTTTTTCATAGTCATCCTAAATGTTTCAACTGTGTGTTTCATGGTTTGGTTCTTGTGTCTCCAAAACACATAGCTTTTTTCTTTCTTTCTTTTCTTTCTTTCTTTTCTTTCCTTTTTTTTTTTTTTTTTTTGTCTAGTGGGAAGTATTCTATGCTTTCCTCATTTAAATGCTTATGTCTTTATGGTTATTTTTACTGCCATACCTATGGGGCTTCTTACTATATTGCCTGTAGCTGAAAGAGATTTTAAAGGAATGAAATTTATTCTGTTTAAATCATCGGGGGCATACAACAATATCTTAAACAATTAGCAATAATTAAAAAGCATCCATTTGAACTGTGTGAAAAGCAAATAGATTTAATTTAAATACAGTAGTCGGGACTAAAGATTTTTTTTCATCAAAACCAGGAGAGGTCTTCCCCTCTTCCCCTGCTGCTTTTATTTTAGGAACTTTTCAGCCACTACTTTGCTGAAGTATTCCATCTGTAGTTTGGCAGCTTCCAACATGTGAGATGAGTTTGTTGGTGCAAAGCATTTCCCAGGGGGTTTGTGCCAGGGATTACCAGAGCCTCCACAGAGCTGATGCAGATACACTTCTTGGTTGCTGGAGCTGAGGCCAAAGGTGAACAGACTTGGAAAATTAAGAGTCTGCTCTGTTAAATGTAATTTGGTCTGTGTTAGGAACAGTGGCGGTAATGCAGTAGTTTAGTGGAGAGACAGTAAAATATATTCCAGTAATAATAATTATTATAACAAGCAGTAAAATGTCGTTAGAAATATTCTGAAGTCTTGCAAACAGCTTTCTGTTCAGTCTGTGATTGTTAGTGATCACTGTAGCAATTCTCATTTGACACAGGGCTGTTTGTGAGCACAATGATCCTTGCCTGTGATGTGTGTCAGGAGCAGTTTCTACAGCTACTGGTCACTAGTGATGGTGGAAGGTTCCTTTAGGTGGGACACCAGAAATTGGCCAGGTCTCAGCCAGTGCTTCTTCCTGTGGCAGGAATCTGTCTCTCATTTGTTCTAACGCACAAACAGAAATGTGAAGTCACACATTAGTTGTAGTTGGCACCTTTTATTTTGTACTCTTAGGGTCAACATAGGGTATCTGTGCAGACCCTTGCTTTCCTGCACTCTTCCCTTTCTTTCTCTGTTTGAAACCATATTCAAAATTATCAGGAGTGTTATAGCACGAGTAATGCTATTTGAGTCAGAAAAGTAGTTTTTATAGGAATGATCCCACAGAACAGTTCATTGATTGTAATGAGGATGATCAGGAGGACACAGCAGCAGCTGCTTGTGCCAGCAAGGACAGTGTCTGCAGAACTGCATTCTTCCTGTGTTGTAATCACTATAGCATAGACTTTAGACACAAACTGAAGAGATATTATTTGCATATCATAACAAGGTTCTTAAAAATAGTTGGATTCAGGTATTCTTTTTTTTTTTAATTCAGCTGAAAATGTCTTTATTTGATTAGTGTGGCATTTTTCTCCAACTTGGAGACTGAGAGTATTTTCATAAGAGCATGAAAGGGGAAGAGATAAATACTAGACAGTTTGTTGTAAGTGCCAAATAAAGTGACATCTATCTATGCAAGCACCATTTCTAACAGCACCTTGTGTCCACTGAAAAATGCATAAGAGCCCACAGATAGAAAAAAGGTTAAAAACTAGTGACCTAAATAATTGGTTCAGTTTTCAAGAGTGCTGAGCACCCAACTGTTCTCACTGATTATAAACAGATGATGATAACGAGTAACAGCTTCCATTGATTAAAGGCATTTTTTCTGGGGGACTTGTCCATAGATGCTTAGAAGAAGGATACATCTAATACAAGTCTTTGATAAGGAGGAACATTTCTCCCTTGGTTGTCTATTTTGTATGCATAGCGTACATAAATATTTTTGCTTTCACAGTATCTTATTTTTTCTTAGAACTCATTTCAGAATTGAACTGAAGCAGATATGAGAAAGCATAAGACGAGATCTTAGTTTCATTTGTGGGTTGTATGCTGCTTCATGCTTCAGTCCTGAAACTGAAGCTTTCATATTCACTATTACTGTTTGACCACCTCTTTTAAACTTAGTAAATTCAGCATCTTATAATACAGAGGAGTTAGAGAAATATCTGAGTGATGTGTTAAATTTTGTACCAGCTTCAGATCTTTTTTGGTTTCCACATCTAACAGGCTTCATGTTTTGATTCTGTGTTATTGTGGTAAACACAGAAGAGCTGTGTAGTTTACTGGGAGAAAAACTGTGCTAAGTGTTACAGAAGAAAATTCAATCCTGCATTTTAATTGGTAATTCTGGGCAGGCTTCTTAAAGTTTTTGTCTTTGAAGTTGTCATTTCTATACTTTGCATCTCTAAGTCTTTATAGCTTTGTCTTAATTAATCTTTTGACAGTTTCTGGAAGATTGATATTGGCAGTGAATTTTATTGGTGTTATTATGAAATACTTATGCTTGTAACTGACAATAATCTAAGCTGAAAATATATGAAAACCTCTAGACTGGAAGGCTAATAGTTCTATTAAAAATATTTGTGTTCTACAAAATAATAGCCTTGGTCCATTTTGTCAAATTCAATACTGCTCTGATCTATGGGTATTTTGGGTAGCCGTATCGCAGCACTTGTCAACCATCATCCAATCTTCTTCCAAAAGAATGTTTTTCAACACTTTTCATTCTGAGTGCATCATGCTGTAATAACAACATTAGCTGGAGCCAGTTTTGGTCATAGAGAAATGGAACCATCTCATCAGTATCCTACCAGGAAAGGATTTGTCTAAGAATTTGATTATTTCAGTAATCTGCTGTCAGGAAGATTTAAAGGTATTGAACTGAACCCTTCCCTCTGAAATGTGCCAGACCACTGTTTAAAAACAGATATCCTAGTCTTAACGTTTTGGGAGCATTTATAGTCATTATACTATTACTCTACCTATTGCTAAGTGTGTCTACATGAGCAACACTAAGCAGAGCCCATAGCTCCTTTACTTGCTCTCTATACCCTGTACACATTGAGTGGTGAAGAGGAATAGGATCTGGAAGATCTGAACAAGGTGGACTGGAAAAATAGATGCTCAGGTAGTGAGGAGTGCTCACGTCTATCAAGTGAATGAAGCCATGCTATGGGTGGGAGCAGCAGACATCATTCAGGTACTGCATTGATCCACCTCACTTCTGCTCGCTCTAATGACACTCAAACGCAATTAAAGCCATCAGTTTCACTTTGTGATTTAACTGTAAAGAGCAATTGTTTACTAGATACGTACGATCATCCTTTCCACTCAGAAGAGGGAGCCAGAAAGCCAAACTCACGGAATCCTGGGGGCTATAGAAATAAGAAGGCTGCTGAGAACACACACATGCAAATGGCAAATTTGATTACAACGATGGGCTGTCTGCTTTGCAGCTCCTGGAAGCCCACCCTCAGCCATAAAAATGCAAAAATAGTGCAACAGGCAATGTGGCAGAACAGGGCGCTCTGTATTCATTCACAATTAGGTGTTCTATTCTGTTGTCACCAGATGCTGCCACGCACATTACACAACAGAAATGGGATTAGCAGGAATAACAAAAACCTGTCAAAGCACAAAACCATGGCCTAGTAGTCCTGACAAATTAAACAGTCTACAATGAGTGCCAGAGCATGAAAATCATTCACCCTTCCTCTTCTATCTCTCAGAGTTAGGCAGTAAATGCCTTCTTAAAGGCAGGCCACCATGTAGCCAACGCTAGAAGAAGGGGGAAAAAAGGCATTTTTCATTTCTCATTGAGCGTACAATAAGGACAAACCACCTGACTAACACATATCTGAAAGTGAATGTTTCATTCTGCTATTTACTGAATAATTGACATGCTCCTAGTATGTCCTGAGTAACTCTTGTTAGAATGCTGTTATACCTATTTCTGAACTTAGAAGCTTCCATGTAGTGCCGTTAGCTTAATTTGTGTCCGTGTGATACAAGATAAAATAGGCCCTCTGTGAATAACTCTATGAAACTCATGTTTTGATCATTATATTCATTCTGGTAGGTCATCAACACAGGATACTGGAAGATTCAGAGGGTGAGAGAAGACTGTTCGTACAGAAACTAGTTCCAAGGCTGGAAAAACCAGGTGAGTTTTTTGTATAGTGCTCTGGGACAGCTGCAGTGTTTTCAAGTTTTTAAGATAAGAACATTGAGATCGAGTCTGCTATGGCCTGTTTTATTTATATTGAGTTTAATAACAATGTCATTAAGCTGGGCAGCCAACTGTGCTTGAAATTTCTCTAGGGCTCTGTGACAAGTTGTTCTTCACAACTCAGTTGTCCATTGTGCATCAGACTCATGTCAGAAGAAGTGACTTGTAACAAGCTTTTTCAAGTCCTTTTTTGAGGGTATCTTTTTGGTTTTGTGGGCTGCCTACCAGTGAATTATCTTAGTATTCTCTGCAGATGTTGATAATTGGCCACTCTTATCGCATCTATGCAGCACATTAACTTGAAAGTTTTTCTCCTGGCCACTCTCAGTCATTATTTGCTGGTCCTAAACTTGATGCACTCATGTAGCTGCTATAACTTTAACTGTATGATTCTTTACTTTTGCTGTAATTTATAATAACAGAAGTGAAAGGACATCAGCTGTGGGAAAACAGGATATAAGCAGCTGGAAGAACAAAATCTTTAGACAGATTTCCGGTTGACTGGGAAACATTCATGGGGCTCTTTTTCCCCCATACACTTCTGCATTCTCACTTTTCTTCTTGCCTAAGGAGTGGCAGATAAGTCACTGGTGCTACTCTAAGTTTAGATGCCCAATTCAGCAAGGGTGACAAATGTTATTTTCTTACCTATTTCCTGACCCCATAACATTTCCAAGATTTCTTCTGGGAATTACTTACAGAAGATGTATTTCTTCATCTGTGGCACAAAAACCATTTTTCCCTTTTATTTGCACCCTCTGAAAAAGTCCTTGGAGTAATAGATAAAATGTCAGAAATAATTAAGAAAAATACTGATACATACTGTGGCAGAGAATTATACCTTTTGAGATGGTTGTTGTCATCATCTGTAGTCAGTCCCCTGATAGATATAAATACCAACTTTATCACCTTGTTTTAGATGATGATGTGTTGAATTGATGTTGATGAAGTCTATATTTTGGAAACTTCAATTAGAGCCAAAGAATGTTTCCAGGGTGAAGCAGAAGATGTGAGATCAAAATAGAGTAAGTAATCATGACAGAATACAGACGTTCCTTTATACATTACTTACTTGATCCTGTTCATGAAAATCCTTTCTTCTCTTTTTCATTCTGAATTTTTCTTTGACTTATTTTTATCCTAAACACTACTATGTATGGAAAGTAAACATCTCTCTACATGCTTTTAGTGCTTAGACTGCAGCTGGTGTTAATACGTTCAATATATTTAACAGTCAAAACAGCAGTAGACAGTAGACAGTGGCTAAACTCAAAGTGCTTGTGTCAGCTGGAGGATAAAATAGGTAGGTGCTGGTTACAATTTAAGGAATTTCCCGTGATGAGGTGGCTCCATAGTATATATGCTAGTACTGTAGCATCCCTGTCCATATACAAAAAAAAAAAAAAGAAAGAAAGCCAGTGGACCGGAGACTTTTCCTGTGGTATATGTAAGGCAAGGATGGTTTACCTTGGGGTTTTCGACAGAAAATTACAATCAAATTTGCCTGCAATCAATACGAAGTAACAGGTAAAGCTGGCATGACATGTGAGCTGACAAGAGATTGGCTCAATCTTCACAGACTTTCCTGCATAAAAACTTTTTTGCTGTCTGGTGTGGAAAGCACGTATCTACTTAGTACGTGACTTTTACTCTGGGGCTAAGTGGTCTGTTCAGATTATTAGGTATTTATGTGTTAAGAAAGAACCCTTCTGCCCTGTTTTTTTTTTTTTAAAAAGGTCGTGTTTGTTTTTAAGGGAAATGAATTGTGACTAGATTTATTGTACCATGTACTCAAAGATCAAATCGCATGACCAAAAGCATTTATATTTATAGGAAATAATATAAAGGAGCAAGAAGCTTATGTGCAGCTTAAGTGTTGAGCATTTATCTTTTTCAAAATGCATTAGAAAGGCAAATGGACTTGGAATGCCAGTTAAAAAGCAAGGATCACTTGCTATAATTTATCACTTTTTGTATTTAGTTAGATTTGAAGGACGAGTTATAATGCCTGCAGATCAACTTGAATTCTCTACTATATTTTATTAGGTACAAGGTAGCAATTGGTTGCATAAGGGACTAAAAATTGGTCCTAAATCCTCTTCAATTTTTAAGTGATACTTGTGTATTCTTTGATTTTTAAAACGCCTCAACAGCTACATCTACATAGTATTGGAATCCTTAACCTACTCAGGAAAGGAGCTCTGTATAAAAAGCCCCATGTGCACATGCAAACCTGTGAAAGTCACTCGTTATCTTTTCTGCAGGCCTTCGAAATTCTGGGCCATTGTGACAGTGCCTAGGGCCAGACATCTCATGGTCTGTATTAGACTTTGGCATTGACTGGGCCAGAGCCCTCAGCAGGGGAATGTCTCAGGTGTGCTTTGTTCACATGGTTTGTTGACAATCCCTCAAGTCAAAACACTGTAAACAATGCCTCCTATTTTTATTTTTTGGTTGGCCCACAACATCAGAAGTGGATATTGGTGGTATGGCAGTAGAGGCTGAACCTTCCCACCAATGTCCAGGTATATGTTGCTGCCATGTGACAGCCAGCAGCAGAATAGTCTCAGATATGGAAGTGCATACGGAGCAAAGATGTGTCCTTGAGTTCCTCCATGTGGAAGAAAATGGCTGACATTCATCAATATTTGCTGAATATTTATGGAAACCAAACAGTGGTGTAAGCACAGTGAGGTGGTGGGTGGTGCCTTTCAGCAGTGGTGACAGTGAGTCACCTCCAGTAGTACGTATTTGTTATGAGTGCACATTCAGGTTCTTGTTAGATGCTGGCAAAAATGCACAGTTAATGGTGATGACTATGCTGATAAATAGTGTTTTGTATCTGAGAATTTACTCATCAAATAATGTTGCTGTTCTCTTTGTAGCTATTGTCGTTTTCATGGAAATAAATAGGAGGCAGTACTTTCAGAGCAACCTATGTGTGTGTAAGTGTGTGTGTATATATATATATATATATGTATGCATACATTCCAATGCTCAGAATGTAGGTTTCTAACCGTCAGTGTCAATTGTACTGCTTTGTAGAATTACTTCTGGGCTGCACTATTTGCCAATTTGATCTTTCTTCTGGTTGTGTCAGAAGGTGTTCAGTCTGTGGTTCAGATCCTTAATCAGTGAAATAGGGGAGATAGTACTTAACCATCTTTATTAAACAGTACGCATCTCAGATGAAAGTCTGGTAAGTCCAAAGTGTAGTAATAAATATTATAACTCTTAATATGGCACTGAAATCCTCCTAGAATTTTCTCTACCATATGCAGATTTTTAAAGGGTCTGAACTGTAAAATAAATAACAGTTAATGGCAGTGCAAATACTTAAATCCTCACAATATACGCTCTGCTTTGCATGCCATATGACTTTTGGTGCCTGGCAATTGTTTATGCACCAGCTTCCCCTGCAGTGCTGCCTATATATGTATATATAAAAAGAAAGGAGAACCACAGTATTGTGCTTAGCAGACAGCTGCTAAATAAATCTGTACCAAGCAGTGTCACCCTCAATGAGGCAGAAATCATAAATCAAATTTTAGAAATGATACCAGAGCAATGTGGCATTGTGAATCTTTTGTGAGAGAAGAAAAATTCTTTTTGCTGTGTTTTGTTTCATCAGTTTTAATAATACTCAAATTTTTTCAGTGAGAAATTCATGCCATGTAGATTTTTTTCATTGAAATATGAAAGCAGTGTACTCACATCCAAGTAAAATTAAATTTAGAGTTTTTTTCCCCCCTCTTTTTGCGAGATAAATATAGTTAATACATAACATAAGTATCAATTCTGACACTGGAATATCAAGCCATTTTTATGGAATTGCATGACAACATTATAAAACAAACATTTGCTATTAATGTTGTTGCTTTAAACAGATGAAAGGGATGCTTTCCTTGTTATTCAGTTGTATTTTGCTATGTTAATATATGATAAATACACAGTTGTTTCTACAAGTCCTTTATAGGTATGGCACCTTAATATTTTAAAGTAAAATTTGATCCATCTTAAGTTGCAGCATGAGTTCTCATTGGCAGCACGATGTTAATAAATCATCAGAGCACCGTTGATCAACTGACTTATTTAACACTGCATAAACAGCAAGAATTTTTACTGGGCCACAAAGTCTGTGTCATGCCTTTGCCATTAAAAGAGTTAATAACTTCACACTGATGGGTTATTAGATTCTCTGTAGCCCCAGAGTTAATATGAAAAATATTTAGAAGGAACCTGCGGGCAAAGCATGAGTCAGGTCTGTCTATTTAAAATCTCCTGAGCTATTGGAAGTGAGACATTCAATGCTACACCTGTGAGAGCCTCAGCTTCTACTGGAGAGATGATTCTGGTCCTTATAACGTGATTATAGATTGACAGGGTCTCATTCTTTTCAGTCTATTTTCTACTTCTGTTGTAGGGTACCAGTTCCCAAGTGCTGTAATCCTTAACCAATTATCTTGGACGTTACTCTGACTAGGATCATTACATGTTTCTCTGCACTCCATTCCCTGCTCATCTTTCTTTGATGTTGCATTTTCATACATTTCATTCCTCACATACACATTCAACCTACATTGGCCTTATTATAACTTCCACTATTTTTGTAATGAACTGGCTCTCATTTTTCTCATTTCATGTACTGAAAAGAAACTACTGTCAAATTGGAGCCATTAATAGCATAACTTTTTCTCTCTTGCTAACCAGAAATACTCCAACCTTCACCTGATAAATTTAGTAAAATTTGATATAATTCTGGCATCTTCAAAACACCAACTTGGCATCTAAAAATTAGGTCTTAATAAGCAGAAGAGCCACAAAGGCTCACTCTTCTCTAGAAGAAAAAAAAAAAAAAAGAAAGAAAGCCACCAGAAATGTTCAGAGAATAATTCAGCCTGTAGCAGGTGAATCTTAAAATATGAGGTGAAGATATCTGAACCTTCTCCCATCTCTTCCTTGGAAGATCAGCAGAAGAGCAAACCTGGATGCATGGAGTTCTGATTTCGCATCCTTTACATAAGGAATGGCCGGATAGGCCAAAAGGCAAATTATTCAGCCTGGGAAATTGGGATTGGAAGATGTATCCTTGCTGCATAAGAAACATTTCAAGCACCATGACTGCAGAGAGGGAGAGACTGGAGAGGGAGAAGTGCCTACTGTTTTCTTCTAGTACCAACGGCATATGTTTAACGAGGGCAGCATTTGCAGACTCAGAGTAGACCACAGTGTGCCACAAACTCCACACCATGCTTTTGCTGTTAAGAGAGTTAATAATTTCCCACTGATAGGTTGTTACTCTGTGATGTCCTCATGTGCTGTGAGGTACTGACCATTAATGAGAGAAGTTCACGGAAGACCAATCTTCCAAAAACTGCCAATTGGAACTCTCTACAATGCAGATCTTTGGAGGACGGAAGAGTTTCCCGGGGAAAAATCACCAAATGTTTGTTTCTTTCCTGCACTAACGCAGGCATCCACTATTGGGCACTGTAAGTGGCAAACTGGACATCTTCGATGAGCTGGTAAGACTCTTTCACAGCCTTCATAACTGCAGCTATCTGCCTAAAGTTAAGGGGGTGAATCTGTGCTTCTGCTTGCAGCACGTGATTGTGGGTTCCCTATAAAGGGCCTGCTCCTCCAAGTCAGTTTGCACATACACACTGGTGTTTGATAAGGGAAAATTCTAACGTAGCATTAAATTGAGTTTTAAATGAATGAACTGATAGAAATGCCATCTGAATGATCACATCTCTGTTCAGCGAGACTGGATTTCCTCCTATTTAAGGGAGCTCTGATCTAATTTTGTGTCTTCCCACTGGATTTTTATTTTTCCCTATTGGCAGGGTAATGGGTTACTTTCTGGTAAAACACACAAATATTTTCTAACTGCAAACCATCATGTTTCAGTGGTTTCAGCTTTTCAGATTATTATCTGCAACTGTTATTACTAGGCTATTGTAACCACCACTTTTTTCCAGATTGAATGCACTGCTATTTGAACTCTGATCCTACAGAGCGTGAACAGCACCTTTAGTAGGACAGCAAATCTTAACTGTTAAACCATGGCCATTTAATTGGTTGTAGTCTCTTTGTATGTATTGAATACTTTAAAAAAAAAAAAAAAATGTGAGCTTTGATCTTTTAAAAAAGGGTGAATTCTGCAAATTAATATTTTTAACCATACTACTAACCATGTAGTATGTATATACTGAGTTTGTGGGTCTGAATTTCTGATAGTTTTTCTAATTAGAGGCTAAGTTTGGGTCCAAATGGGCAGGCAAATCTTAATGACTGTGTAAACCACTAATCACATCACTCGTCAGATCTTGATGTGTCTTCAATTTTTAATTCAATCAGAAATCCTTAAATAATTCAGGTATTTTTAATTAAAGAAAATACGGCATTTAGATGATTTTTAAAAATTATTTTATTTTATTTTATTTTATTTTATTTTATTTTATTTTATTTTATTTTATTTTTAGACCAGGGAGTATTTATCAACATTATTCCATACTTTCACTTTTCTCTAGTATATATATTTTTCCTTTCTTGGTATCTTGGTTTTGCATTCTTACTTAGTTACATATTTTTCTAAAAAATGTGAATGTGATCAATAAAACCCTATGGCTTCAAAGTGTTCTTATTTATATTTAAATCCTTCCTCTCACCTGCTGTTTGTTGCTTTTTAGTTATGTCACCAATCCCACTGGAGCTCAGGAAATCTAGCTGGTCCTCTCTAAGCTGCCAGACTTATTCTTTTCCCATGTATTCCCATGTCCCTGCAGCTTCTGATGTAAAACAGATTTAAGTTTGTGTAGAGCAGAGGTCAACATGAAAGCTCAAAACAAAACAAAAAAAAATAGCTGGCATTCAACTTTTAGCTCTGGTTTCTATTATAAGTCAAGGCTCTATTTTTGTAATTTGAAAATGGTGCTATTGTTCTGCAGCCATCCCTTACCTCTCACTTTCACTGATTCTTTTTTTTTTTGACTGTGATGTCCAGTTTAGATAAACTTTTAGCCATGTTGACGATTGTTTGTTTGAACTGCAATTCTTTATGCCACAATTGTAAAATTGGCATGTATTTTGCAAATTGAGCTCTATTAAGTTTTCATTTATTTTGCGAAACACAAAGCTTTGAAGCCATTCCTCTAGTTCTCCTGTAGTTATTTGCAGTCATGATTTTGAGTCCTTGCTAAGAGTTGTGGGAGTAATGGCCTAATGGGATCCCTTTAGCAACAGATTTTGTGAAAGTTAATCTCAAAGTACTTCAATTTTTATTTATTTGTTCTGTAATGTTCTGTAGCTTTGTAGTAACACATCCCTTTCTGAATGCCTCAGTAAAGTAGCATGAGTTGTGTTGAGTGAGAGTTAAATACTGCATGCTATGGCTCACTGTGTTGGACCGTTTACCAGTGTTGTGTATATGTATTCAGTCTTTTGCATTTCCTGGTCCTTTATCAGATGGAAATCACAAGTAGAGATGTAATTCAGTGCTGCCCTTAACATCATTAAACCCTGTGGCAGTGGGTAAATCCAGATCTCATTGTGGTCTTATGAGACAATTTGGCAAAGAAACTTGTGCTGTTTTACTGAGACGATGAGATTTGGACAAGGACTGTGTCTCCATTAAGGAATGAAGCCCCACATGCATGAATCTGCTGCATTTTAGCTTACGGGGAACATCTCTACATTAACAAGGATGTATGCAGTGTGCATGCTGACTTGTGAAACATTCAGCCTCTCCTGGTCTTGTAGGGAGAAGTATGTACCCTAAGCAGCCCTAGAGTTGCTCCATGCTGCACTCCAAGGTATTTGCATTTCTGCTGTTCTGTTCAACACAAATTGGTCAGTACTCAAGCATGAGTGTAAATTGCTGTGGAAAAATAAGTACTTTTTTTCCCCTGGAACTTCATTCAAACTGCAATAATTAATTACAAACTAGAATTAAGTTCCTTATATTACAAAGACTTAGGCCTTAGTCTGTAGTGAGTTGGGAATTGAACCAAGATCAAATGGATAATAAAAGTATATTTAACTTCATGGAAGCTCATAAAAGATTGTATTAATTAGGATGAGTAAGTAATGAGTAAGGATGAGCCCATAGCAAAGTCTGAGGAAGAACTTTCAGCTGTGTGTTTGGTGTTAATTTAGCACCTCATTCACTTCTGGATAAATGTGATAACTCTTCCATCATTTATCATTTATTGCTCTTCTGATAGTGATGATTTCTTCATGCACATGGAAGATATGATGGAAGGTGGAAGGCAGATAAAAAGGCATGGCTGAAATAGAGCCCTCTGAAAAAAATTTTAATGCATGTTAAGCTAAAAAATTGTCATGGCCCTACAGCATTCAAATGGTTTTGATTCTTTTATTTATAATGAGAAATTTGTACACTTTGAGCAGTTTGAGGTTGGTTGTGTGGTTAATTTTGAAGTTGCTTGCTATAACTGTGTGAATCTGAGAGGACACTCTGAGACCTCTTAGAATACTCTGAGACACTTAGAATAAAATCAGGAGATCTGCGATGGACATTGTAAGAAGCAGTACTTTATCATAAGAGAAATATTGCCAGTAAGTGTCATTTACTGGTAATTCTGAGATAAAAAGGAGAAAAGGTTCTGACATGAGACTTGGATCTAGGATGCCATAGAGAATTCAAATAAAGAGAATCCATGGAGGAATCCACTGGAGATTTAACATTATTATAATACTCCTCATTCCTTGCACAAAAGCTCTACAAAAGCTTGCCAAAGTGGAGCAAATTTTAGAATTTTCAACAAATGCTGCTATTAACCCATGAGCTTAAAGTTATAACTTTCATTTTGAAAAAACTTTAAATAATAGAAGTAATAGAAACATCAATGTGCAATGCATATATAAAAGCTAGTGTCTTGTTTTCAAACATCATTTGATATTAAGGTTTATGAACATTGGCTTTTTGTTGTTAGACTTAATATATCACGTATTCTCTGTTGTTGAAAACAAAAACTAAATAACAGACTTGCATATAATCTTGAGCTGGCAATATTGTCCAGATGGCACTCTTTTCCTCCAAACTGTGGCAATCCATCTTCACCCTTGTTTCCATATTAATTACTCATCCGCATTATTGTATGCTGATTAAAGCTAAAAAACTAGAATTTCCAGGTCCTGTTCCTAACCCTCTTGCACTACAACACTGAAACACTGTTGTTTGTGGTCTTGGCAATTATTTTTTGTGTGTGTGATAAAATCTCCATAAAGGCATGCTGTACATTCTGGTTAAAAATAACGGTATGAACATTCTGCACAACTCCACAAGTTAAGCTTTGTATTTCAATAAACTTGCAATTCTTCCTCTGGAAATACAAGACGGAACCCCAAAACTACTACAAATTTTCATTTACTAGGTCTAGCGTCAGTTGAATGAAACACTGTCTGAGGAAAGTTGTCTGGAGGCAAAATTTCAATCAATAGCATGGCACGAGGTAAAAGTTCATGTGGTAGTGAAAGCATTGGAACTACTTCTATTCAAGGCATTATTGCATACAAGTACTGCAGTGCCATATTCTGTTTGCCGGTGTGTCAGACTCTATCCCCTGTATTGTGTCGCCATAACTACTTAGAGTGGTTCACCAAAATAGAAAGTGTTGTTTACAGAGCATGTTACTTCCAACAACATGCAGGACCAGTAAGACCTTATTATTTATGGGAACTTCTTCTTAATGTTTCAAAAGTTATACTATAATTACTTAAACTTCTTTTTTCTTGCTACAATCGGAGGTAAGTAGATCAAAATTCTGTCTTTGAATTTCAAAAGAAACTTGACTCCTCGGATTTTGGATTGTCTAACTTTCTTTCCCAGTGTGTCAAGTCCGCTATCTCAGGGTGAAACACTGATGTGACAGACTGCCATAATGCAATGTGTTCAACCACCTCAACGATGCATCAACTGGAAGGAGTTTCTGAAGATTCCGTTCACACATGCACACACACAAAAAAGAACATGAGGGAGAAACAGTTTGGGGAAGCGGAACATTAATCTTTTTCACATAGTTTGGCACAAATTTAATTATGAAGTATTTGTAAATGTTCAATCAATTAGACCACTTGATTGTCAAACTTATAACTTTGAAAGCAGATTATCTTTTGCAGAAGAAAAGCTTCTCTTAAGCAAGATCTTTTATGTTAACTGCTCCAGAATTAAAGCGCTACGTTTTCCATAGGATGGGAAGAAAGTGCAGGAAAGAAGTGTGTAATCTCTGGTCAAATTTCAGGATTTTCATATAAATGGACTAGTTGAACCTTTAAACTCCTAAGTTTTTTGGGGAAAAAAAAAAAAAAACTTTTCTCTTTCTGCTTTAATAAAATAGTCATCTAGTAACTCTAGATTATTTAATTTTTATAAGGGAAACTCAAAAATAATTGCAGGTAGATTCACATGCTGAAGAAACTTCATGAAAGCTATTAATTTTTCCTAATTTTTCAAATACTTCTCCAAAAACTCACTTTCATGTCTCTTTTACTTGTAATATTTAAGTTCAAAATTTGGCCGTTCCAGTGCAAGGTAGTGAGTGTAGTTTGTATAAATTATCGACTATGGAATCCTAAACTGACTGGAAACTAAACTGACCAAACTGAATCTGTTTCTTTGTACATAACATTGTCATCTCTGGGGAAAACAATCAAGTTATAAATCTGCAACTAGAGATCTTAATATCCACATTGTGTATCTCTTCTGTCAGGTTCTTTATTTTTCTCCCTGGATAATCAATTTTTTGCTCCTTGAGTTCTAACTACTGTGTTTCATTTTCTCATAGCACTGTCTTCTTGAGCTTTACTGACTGCAAAAACAGAAGATATTCTGCTGAGTGATGTTTTTGTCCTGTCATGTCCTAAGCTTCCACATCCCCCTGTTCAAACAAATGCCAGGTAATGCACAGCTCTGCCACAACTGAACCTCACTGTAAAACTATGCAAAACTGAGGACCTATCCCTACACAAAGGGAATGGATAATTGTATGCATGTATGGAGTCTCATATGATTGTATGGTACCCAAAAGGCTTGCAGAGATGTCTTAAGTGTTTAGGGTGATATTTCCAGATTGTCATATTCTGTCACAAATATCTCAATGGGGTCATGCCGTAAGATATTGAGAGACATGACACTGAATTGTTCTGGTGCCTGCTGGTCACGGTGGCAAAACCAAGAAGTTTTTCAGCTGATGTTAGGTGGGCAGAGGATAGGTGACACATTTTAGGAAAGTTATTGTATTTATTAAGGCAAATCATGTTGTGAGCTAACGTCACATGACCCTTTTCTATCACACTCAATTGACAGAAAGCTTCTAGCTTCATGGAGAGTATTTGGAGCAGAAAATCTGTCATATTTAATGGGATAAATGCTTGGAATATGTCTTTGTCAACCACAATATAGCTTTATGACAATATGCTTTTGTATGTGATGGTAAATTTGTGCTACTTATACGTATTGTTCACCTGAATGAATGCAGTCAGTACTGTAGTTGAGGTATGGCACAGACTGAAGTCTGATCTGTCAAAGCTTGTCCTGACAAAATCTATGAAAGAAAGTTGGCCAACATGCAGCAATAGAGAGGAGGAGTGCAAAGGTGAGTGAACACTGAGAACTACAAACGGGCGACATGGATGGTGTCCGGGCATCATGGGGGGAAGGTTTGTAACTAGAGAGAGAAAGAAAACTAGGAGGGGAATTGGGACGGAGAATGCACCAGGAGAATGCACGCCACAATCTGTTGGTATTTCTGGAGTACCACTCTCTAAATCTGTCACTGGGAGAAAAATAAATCACGCATTTAATTGCTTTTTTTTCCAATGTAAGGGTAGAGCTTGCCTATCACGGTGAAGGAACGCTGGTGGGATTGGCAGCCCCATGATGGCACCAGAAACAGCAATGAGCTAGATGCAGCGTCTCCTCTGAGGAAAAGAAACTTGCAGGGCAAATGCAGTGCGTACATTTTTCATGGACAATCCACAAGTGTTTACAGTCTGGGAGCAAATCAGAGCAGAACGTGAGTGGCTGTGCTCCACTGATGAAATGACAACCCAAATGTTGTTCAAACAGAAAACTGATTGCAGTTGCTCTCTCTTGTGTTCAAGGCAGTCCCTGTGTTGGCTGCAGAAGGAGTTTGAGCATGCAGACCAAGATTAAATCATAACCAGAGTCTGTCTGAAACCCTGTCTGCCAGTAAGAACAGCAGCCGAGTTAAGATGTATCACAGCAATGAGCTGCCTCACTAAAGCTGACTGAACATTGAGTCTTGACTGCCTGCTTATGACTGCACGTAACCTTTTCAAAAGCACCCAAATACCTTAGAAGCTTGATTCTCATCGCAAGTTAGATAGCTGAAGGGTGAGTAACATAGACAAAAGTCTAACTGCAATCAGATAATCTGAAATGGTCTCATAGATCTCCGAATGCTCCTTCTACCCAAGTTTCATCTGTTTGTCCTCTGTGGAAGTTGCATAGTGGCTAGACAAGTGTTAAAACAGTGTTTTGTCAGCCAAATCTGACTAATTTTTGGAACAACCAGTAGTTCATTGTTTTCAAAACCCCTCCTCACCCATGTCTGTTGATTTTCTCTAAGACACTGCACTGAGCACTGCTGTTGGTGTGTAAGTGCAAGATGCTGGGCATACGTGTCCTGCTATCTGAGATGGTAGCGTGGAGTGCTCCCACAAAGCATGCAGCATGCCAGCTCTCTGTATCTCAGTGAGGACTATAGGGTTGTTGGTTTTTTTTCCCCTGTGGATCTTTTAAATGCAAGTCAGGCTTCACAAAGCCCACAGTAAAAAAAAAAAAAAAAAAAAAAAAAAAAAGGAAAAAAAGAAATCCTCCACTACAGAGACAAATAGCAACATGTGGCTGAAAGATAACAGAAACGTACATGCAAGTGCTAAAATTAAATATGGAAATATGAAAATGAGGTTTTTTTTTTGTTTGTTTGTTTGTTTGTTTTTAAGCAAAAGAACTGATTCACTTGTCATTGCTAAAATTACATGGGAACCTTGTTTCCTTAGCAGCCCATCTCAGAAGAACAAAATAGAAAAAAAAGGTCCACAGATAAGAAGCACCATCTCAGTACCCAGTTGTGTTGGTTGGCTTTGGCAGTGGGAGTCTTTTGCAAAACTTTGCAGACAGCATGAAAAAAGCAACAGGAAAAAAAAAAAAGATAAAGGCAAAAGAGCATATTAGAACAAAATGTGCAAGATGTAGATGTGTGGTCCTCCTCCCTTAGTCTTGTCTCCAGTCTTGCTGCAATGTCACACCTTTCCATGAGTCACTGGATTTATTTTCAGTGGCTTTTTCTTCTGTCATTTCCTGCATCTCCTCCTTCCCCCGGTGTCCCTTCTTCCTGCCCATAGCCCACATCTTTTCCAGATATTTAATGTAAAAGTGATTACCCCTGCTCCCTGCAAGCTTTGCCCCCGCTTCTGTGATGGTTTGAACAAGCTGTAAAAAAAATCACGGTGCTCAGCAACGGGGCTGGTTGTTTCTGAGCCACATCCTTCTGGAGTCTGCAGCTAAGAGCTGCTCAGGTCTTCAGAGCAAAGTGACCACTAGAGCACAAGAAAAAGAACTTGTCCCTTCCATGTTTGAGGTGCAATATCTAGACTCCCAGCAAGCAGCAGACACAGCATCCTAACATCCTCTGTGGGGTCCTCCTGTTGCCTGGCTGTTGTCACTGTTATTCTCCCCTTTTTCTGTTTTGGTGAAATTCTGAACAGTTCTGTCTTGAAGGTTGGTGAGACAGCGACATGATACATCCAGAAGAGGCTTGTCCTGAACAGGTCAGCCTGACAAGTATATCCTGGTTAACAGGGTGCTTGTGCACCTGAGCAGTATCAACACAGAAGGGGGTAATCAGAGGCAGAGGATTACTTGCTTTTTTGTATTTCACATCACTGTAAAGAAAATAGGTTTTCCTCTCTCTTAATAGAGTAATATCATTCTCCAAATGAAATAGGCATCCTCTTTCTTCACCTCATGTTCTCAGTGTCACCTATGCACACTGTTTCTAAAACTTGTATTCTACTTTGTGCAAATATTTTCTATTGTCTGTTTTCTTTATTTTGATACCTTATTTTCTCTGCTTCCCTCTCTGTTTACTTTTCCCTTATAACGCTTCTCTTATTAAATCTTTTCTTCCTCTTGGCCAACTCCTTTCCAATGGTTCCTGTTTTCAAGAGAGCGCCTGTAATTTTATTTAAAGGCAGAGGTCACAAACCTTCAAATGACTATTCCTTAGATTTAAAATGTGTCCTTTACTATCTCAGTGATGCAGATCGTCAACACTAATTTATCTTTGTTCTCTTCCAACATGCAGTTCCCACAACCACTTCTGTTTTCCTGGATACCCGTCAACTGTTCACACTCAGAGACCTTGGAAGGGTAACCAACTTTGAAGATTTTGGAGCCGGCTTTTTGCCTGAAGGGAAACTATTGAGTTTCATCTCATCCCTGTTGTGGTTAATTCCAGGTATTTATTAAGCATTTAATATTGTATGAGTCAAAAGGAGGAGATTATGAGATAGACTGTTTCTTGTCTTTAAAGAATGCACAAAATGTGATTGCTTCTCATTTTGCCTGTTCTTGATTGAGGTCCAGAGAGGTGGGAAAGCGGAGGCACAGACACCTCCATGACCACCTTCTAGGAAGATTTTGGTGGAGGGATTAGTATGGTCTGAGCTACACCTTCCCATGACGCTGAGTGCAGGGAACAGATAGGCATGAGTCACTGTGAGTGCTGGAATAGATTGCCCTTCCTGGGCTGGCGAAGAGTTGAGGGAGACCTAGGCAATGTAAGTACTGTGCACACTATGAAACCAAGGACAAATCAGACTTCTTTAATATGCTGAACATTTATCACTGCATTTCAGATCATGTGTGACTTGGAATGATTGCTTTAAAAAGTCACAGATAGAAAATACAGAAGTCTAGTTCACTTGCATAATGTACTCTTTGTATATGGCTCCTCTTTTGGAATATGGGAAAGTTGTAAAAAAAGCTGCACAGAATTAACATGCAATAAGTTCCTGTATTAAATAAATAGCAGCTTTGATAGAGAAATACATAAACACACTAAATGTTAATGTTCCAAAAATATACAGATAGGAGGCAGTCTCATGTGCCTGTGAAGGCATTATTGTCAGGAGATCTACGGAATAATTTCTGCCATTCTAGAAAAGAGAACAAGGATCAAAAATGTTTTCACAGTTGCAAAAGAAAGAAAGAAAAGCCTGCAATCTCTGCCTGATTGCAGTGGTCACACCTGTTCTTCCTTTTAATGAAGAGAGAAGAGTATTTTAAATCTCCATAATATGGTCTTTGATAACTTGTGGGAGGTCTTCAGTATAGAAGTTTTCTTTGGATGCTATGACTGGAAGAGCTTTGCCTGCTTTTACGATAGCAAGTCAGGCTTTGTAATATTCACTTCTTGTTATTTTTGGAAGGAAAAAAAGAAACAACAACAACAACAAAAAACAATCTTTTTTATTTAAAGATTGGAATTTAAAACCAAACCAAAAATCCTCTTGTTTTGTTGTATTTTTTGCAGCTTTGATTTAAAAAAAAAAAAAAAGTGAATCAATGATGATTAAAGGTGAGGGATGTTGTAGGAATGTAGCAAAGTATAACTGTCATACTGTACCAGTGGTGGTTCAGATATTACTGCACTGTATCTCAGGCAGCCACCAGGGTCTGAGGATTCTGCTGAAGACAGAACCTTGTGATACCAGGTGAGGACTTACATTCTAAATGCAGGCCCCTTCTTATTTGGCAGTAATTCAAGTTAACTATAGTAATGTTGAAGATTCTTTTACTATACAAATACCTGATTTCTCTTTGTAATCTGTTGGATTTAATCTGACTTTAGTGAAATATTATGATATTGCGTACCAACAGCCTAATTATCCAAAATGAGGAAGAAAAAAAAGGCTTTCCTTTGATTGGTTTTGAATTTGCATCTCTTTGTTATCACTGCTTGTCCTTGTGTTACAAAACAAGGAGAACAGAAGCACTAGATCTGTATTCCCTAAACCAACCAGGGTTTCACATACTTTTAACGTGTTCCAGAAGAAGCTGTGCTATTGTTTTATACAATGCCAGTAGTACCACGGTACTTCAAACAGCTTTCTGAAATGCAGTTCTTTCTGTTCCCGCTGTTATCATTTCCTAGGACACTGGGAAAGACCCGGAGCTCTAAACGCTGGATTAAGATCTTCACTTCAGCAGCTGAGGTCAGTGGCTCCTGTCGTTCAGTCTGCACTTCTCACTCAGAGGCTGGTTTCAAACAGAGGCCCTCAGCCTAAGAAGCAAGTGGGACTTCCAGGCAGCTGTTCTGCTGTTGTGATCCTTATGAGTAATTTCTTTCCTCTTAATTTATTATATAGCATCAAGACCTGAATTCAAAACTTTCTGTGGTTTAAAGGGATCTTCCGCATTGCTAGTTTTGGAGGGTTTTTTGAAAAAACTATGCACCTGATACGGTTCAGACCATAATTAGTGTAAGTCTTACTTACTCTTTTTACAGAAAGCTCTTTTGAGTTATTAAAATACAGCGACTAACTGACTGACTTCCATATAAAGGGGGAGGGGAAGAAAGGAGTCACACATAAGTTGAGTTACTCGAGCATAAGGTATTTTTATTCAGTTGAGCCCTTTAGTTCAGATTAGGATCATAGCTTCTTTTGAATGTACTAGTTACTTTGAGTTCTTAGTTCATTGTTGAAAAACTAACACTTCTAGACATCTCTGACAAGTTCAAATAAAAAACCATTAGGATCTTTAAATTTAAATCTCACTGGAAAGTTGAATTTACAAAAATGCCTGTCTACGGCTTATATGGATCTGTACAGAAAAACAGTAACACAGGTTAAGTTAGCATAGGACAAGTCTTATTTTTATTTTCTTTCTTAATATTGGGAGATAAAGAGCCATATGTGACAATAAATAACTTTGTAAATGATTCTGAGGATATAGTGGGAAGACTGTGATCATGATGAGTTGATATAGGTATTTTTTCTCATATCTGGGTAATAGAGATAGTTGCACTAGTGGCAGACTCACAATGAATTATATTATATTGATCTATTAATTTATCTGTACATTTATGACATGAGAAATATAAGGATATATCTTTGATTTAATAATTATATAATAATAAATGGCACCATTTTTACACTTCTGTTCTGCTTGCTTTACAAAGACCAATGTTTTTACAGACGGATAACTCAGAACTGACCAGGAAGGGAAGGGAAAAAAAAAGCCCTTAAAACGAATACATTTCAAGGAGGCTGTAATTATTTCCTTCTTTGTGACTTACAGCAACATACTGAAAGTTAATAAAGATAAATGTAACATTTACAGGGTAATAAGAGATTGTGGAAGGAAATAAACAAACCTAGGATACAGTGCATCTAAGTAAACACAAAGGTTGTAAAACCTTCAAACTCAAATATCAAGAGCACTGCAAATTAATGCTGCACACAATAGACCCTTTGGAAGCGAACTTAATCCACCCCCATGTATCTACATGAGGGCCATGCATAACAATGCATGAGCTGGATTTCCATTAGAGTTTCCTCTGCAGGCTGTCAGTTGTTTGAAGAAATAACAATTTCCTAGGCATGAAAGCTTTTTCAGAATGTTCCCACTGATGTGTAATAAAAGTGACTTTACTTTTTCCTCCCCCCTTCTTCCTCAAGCCCCTCCCTCTGAGATGTGACTTTGGGGGGGAAGAGGATGGACTTCGACCCCCGGCCCCCTACCAGTTTACCTTGCCTGGATTATCAGTGCAGGTGTTAAAATAATTGAAGGTGTGGTAGGAGATACAACCCCTAATAGCCTTTCCTATATGGAGATTACCTAGGTAGAGAATGCCAGAGTACCTGAAGAATAGGCATGTGAGTACCTTATTAACATAGCACCATTCAGCGGCAGCTGCATATCTGGAAAAAAAACCCTTTAAAGAGCCTATTCATCTATGTTAATGGGCCCATTGCACAGTACATTGTGTGGGAAATTAAGTCTCTGGCTGTGAACTTCCTGTGCTGTGCAAGCTGCCTTGACTCTTTTTTATTGCTTCAGTGTTATTATCTCCTCCTGGAAATAAAAACAATCATGTTCTCACATTTGAGAAGCCAAAACATTCCCAGATAACAAACTGGTTGAAAGTTTCTTTTGTTTCCCTTATTAAGTGAAAAAATATGTTTTGAAATTAAAGTAAACCCTAAATTAACATCAAAGCCCATCAAATTAGCTGAGCTGTCATATGCATGATAATGCTGGGTTTTCTTTTTTTTTTTTTTCCTTCCCTGTAAAATACACAATTTAAATTGCTTTCCTATTTATTGTTCCTTCCTTGGAATTAATTTTTGCCACAAAGTATGTTAATTTATTCAAATGAGACATGATTTTTGAATGTTTAACGGCAAAAGAACTGCTTTCCTGCTGAAAGATTGAGGTAGAAAATAACACTACTTTAAACGTTTTCCTAAAATACAACGCCTCTCCATTTTGGCATTGTGGACAGATTCTCGAAACACAGATCTTGACAGGTGTACCAAAAAGAGTAAACCTTATGTGTTCAAGATATTTTTAAGCCCTGTGATCACTTTGTGAGTAATATATGATATTGTAGTCTGCAAAACCTTTCACCAAAAAAATAGTTATCATCAAATATTTAAGCAACTTTTATTCTTAATTTAAGATCCAAATTCTACACATTGCATCATCATCATCTTCATCATGCTGCCAAAAGGAAGGATTAATTATCAATGCTACCTGGTTAAAATTCAATTAAGGAGGATCTCTTTTTTCTTTTTTATCTTGCCTCTTTCAGTCCTTCCTTTCAATTTCAACTTAATTTGCTCAAATATTTGACGCATTTAATGAGCATACCGGAATAGAAATAGCCATTGAATATGCTGTACTCCTTCCATGGTGTACATTCAACTTCAACTGGACAACAGTAAAAACAGCCAAAAAAGTCCTATCTTTTGCTGTTATTTGAATTACTGATATAAATTGCAATGTAATTCGGTTCTTCAGATAAAAGAACTATTTAGCACTGTAAAGCTGGCTCACTCCATACCAGTTATCAAGAAGTATCAGTAGAGGAAGGAAGTGAATAAGGAATGAGCCTTATAATACAAACCATCATTTTACCCAGTCTGTTCCATGCATTCGTCCTATAATTTTTCTTCAAAAATTTAACTGTGAAATCTCTGGTGCAGGGATGGTATGGTATGCACATACCTTGCTGTTTTCTCTGCTTTATAGTTCTTGACAGTATTATCATAATAAAAATCATTATTGCTGCTAGACACAGCACTGAGTGTTCTTTGGGTGTGTACAAGTCTGACAAGTGATGATGCACTAATATCAGGGAGCAAATCAATATTTCATCTTACTTAATAATTCAATTATGGAAATTCTTCCCTCAATGCCATTTGTTAACTTAAAGTCACCATAAACTGTAGTTCACTCAGTACATCTTTTAGTGGCGCTCTAAATTACATCTTCCTGACATTTAGATATTGAAATATTAGACAACGTTCTCTTTTCAATTCACTGCTTTTTCACAGCACAAGCCATCTGGGAACATGTACCCACTAGTGCTCTACAAGGTACCGTTAAGAGTTTGCATACTTTAAAAAGTTAGAGAAAATCAGAACTGCAGAAAGACCAACACATGACACTTTTATATCTGTAGATTTGGCTTTTACATCATTATAACATTTTTTTTCAATGGAATCATAGAATCATATTTTTTTTCCTTTGTCTTATATAATCTATTTAATTTCAAAATTACTTGTAAGTTTGTTTGTTTGTTTGATGACTGGTGTCTTTCAGGTTTTATAATACGTTTTAAGAGTTTAAAAATATACGTTGGACTTCCAGACCAGCCATTCCATTTAGTCCCTTTTCCACAGCAATACCATTTTTATACAGCAAGTGTGCTGATGGCATTTCATGAATAATAGGGTGGCTGGTAATCTGGATGCAAGCAAAATTTTTTCAAACAGTTGCTGTAAACATAATTCAGATTAATGGGCCATTTACAGTCTTGCTAACTTACTAACTGGCTCTGTGCTCTAGGTAATCAGGGTGACATTACTGCCGGCACAAAAATGACATCTCGTCATCAGAAATTTTCTTCATTGGCACAGAAAATGCCAGGCACATCACCTCTGACTGTGTGGCCACCACATCTATTAACCTTATTGATTTGGAGTCATGCTGTGCCACACTGGAAAACTACTCCCTGCTGAAAGACTCAAGTGGATCAATCCTGAACCATGAACAAAACTCAATAACAAAATGTAGTAGGCACCTTTCTCCATTAAGTATTCCTCAAAGTAAATCACATTAGAGGACGTCACCTTGAGGAGCTTCCCTTAGGACTCTGCGATCTTCCAGAAACTAACAGAGAAAAATGTCAAAATTGAGGGAAAAGATATTTATAATGCCAATTGTATTTTGCATCTTACTATAACTAATTTTCCCTTTCTAAACTTGAGAAATCTAAAAGTGCTGTTTGTTTTTAATGATAATTATCCCTGGTATTTCATCCAGTGACAGATGTCACAGTCTGGAAAACAAAGTTTTCTCCTTTTATCAACCTTTTAGCATTTTCATGAATTTATCAGCATTTATTTTTGAGAGCCTCAATGTGATGGGTCTTGAAAATGAAAAAAGGCCTCTAACTTCTTTCATCCTCATACAGTTAACAAAGAAGTCAACAAAAGGAGTTCCAGAGCTTCATATTTCCTGACAAAAGATAGAGGATTGCAGCAAGCTCCATTCATATTTAAATGTTCATGGCTTTGGAATTAAAAGTCCATCTTTCATGTTACCATTTCCGTTCCCTACTTTTTTTGTTGCTGTTTGCCAGCAATGAAAACGATGTCCCAAACATTAGTGTGATTCTTCAAGTCTGCAGCACTTCTGTTCTTAGAGAATATTCCTTGTTACAGCCAACTGAAGCTTTTTTTTTTTTTTTTTTGCTTCTTTTTTTTTTGTGTGGGGGGTTTTTTTTTGTTTGTTTGTTTTTAATAAGAGTTGCACATCATTCCAGTTTTTAATTGTCTTGGAAAACTTATTTGGGACAAGAAAAGTGTGTGTATAACTGATCTGTGTGCATGTGAGTAATTATAGCTGAGTAAGTTTTATTAAATCTAGCAGGACCCCCAACCTCAGGGAAAATTACTCACATGAGTAAGGGGCACAGGACAGGATCATTTCTGTTGCTCTATACTGTGACAACAGTATTTTTTCCCAAGGGTATGATCTGAAAACTTGGCAGCTAAAACCTGTGGGCATAAGGTTGAATTTTGCACTGGTTTTGATGTTGATGAATAAATTTCATTAAAAATATTCCTTGTATGAAGTTAAACCATGCTTAACATCTGTATATTTATCCGTATTAAATATTTCGATATTTTATTTCAAAGAAATTTCTAGATTACAAAAAGCAAGGAAAAACAAATGAAATGACATTAGAAAATATTATCAGTTGCTTAGGAAAAAAAAAAAAGTGATTTCTCAAAGCCACATAGAAGTCTGGAAAATATTATTTTTATTCCTTAGGAAATAACCCTGGGTTTCTAATTAATGTCATGAAATTAAGGCCATTTATCTGGAAAACTGAAAGAAGATCTATATATGCTCCAAAGTTCGGTGTTTGTCCCTGAGCTCTGACATGGGATATACTGTGTGAAAGTCTAACATGGGATACACCATATATCATCTCTATTTAGAGCCCCTAGGCAGGAAGTATGGATAAAAAAAATAATCAAAATTACTGTTTTTCTTTACTGAAAGCCCTCCAAGGAATTCATTGGAATGAGTTCTGTCTGCCCATCTAATTGATAATTATTTAATTAGCAATTTATAATGATAATGGGATTTTACCCCCCACCAGTCCATCTTGTCGGTAAGAAAAATATAAGTAGACAACCTTATGTATTACTTTACCACTTTTGGCAGTTGGCACAAGATATTGTGGGCCAGCGTTGTGATTCCCCACAGTTAAACCATAAAAGCAGTGTATTCATATATTTCCTTTGCCCACAGTATTTCCTTTTCTCATTACTGTGGGTGACTGGCATTCTCACAATGTGTGTGGGTGCACAGGCTTGTTGTGTCACCATGGACAGTTCTAAGAGCAGCTTCATTAGTTCTTTTTACAACAAAAGCTAGGTTTTTTTTCCTGCCTTCTCTTTCTTTCCCTTAGTTGGCATGCGGGTTGAATTTTTCTTGGACCCCCTGCTTGACTTTTTTTTTTTTTTTAGAGCTCCTTTTGAACAGTGCAGCAGTGTGAACACTAGGAATTGTAACTGATAGACTGTTTGCAGGAGAACTCATGAAAGTTCTCTTTGTTCACTTCACATCAACCAGGTTTATACGAACCCTCCCCCACCTCAGCCAAACAGGGGAAAGGAAATCCACTTTTAATTATACATTGATGGGAATCACTGTATAGTGAAATTGCATCAAGTGGAGAATGCCCACTTTATACTCCTTTATCTAAGAATCCAAAAGAAGCACTGGTGTAAAAAAAAAAAATGGATATGTAAGCGTAGACTCCCCAGTATATAGCCAGCCCTGACTAATTGAAATCAGTTTGCCAACTCTGCTTCCAGTCCTAGTAAAAAAAAAAAATTAACACTAACAGTGATTAATCCCTTAGTCCTTGATCCTGTCATGTTTTATCTTTGAAACCTTACCAAAAATATTTCCAAAGCTATGTATTTTTAATGGAGGGAGAGTGGAGAGGGGCGGGGGCAGAATTTGCAAGTGTAAGCTATTTTCAAAATTTGAACTGGTGGTATTGATGTCTTTCCTATTTTCTTCCCTCAGACAATACAGTAGACTGGGAAAAAGAGTCCTGAGGGCAAAAAGAAAGAAGATCTACCTGGTGGTGGCAGAACAAAAAGATTATACAACCATGCAAGAAGAGTAAGTAAACAAGAGTAGCATTTTGTGTCATTTTATGCTTTTGCCCAGTGAAAGGAAAAAAAAATTAAATAGTGACTTCTGTTATTATAAATCATTTGAGGTAATATGCTAATAAATATGTAATGTTAATTTTTGTGTGCTTCTTAAAATTAGTATTACAAGATATCATTAATATTGATGACTGTGCAGGATATTCAGTATTATTATCTACTGTTAAAGTTTACTATTGTTCTATTTGCCTTTTGAATCTTTCAGTACAGAAAGGAAATTTTAGTGGTTTTCTCAAATATTTCATCAGGAAATGAATTTTTTTTTTTTAAGAGTTCTTAAAGTTCACTTTTTACTTTCATTGGCTTAGTTGTCCCAGTACATTTAGTAGCTCCAAAAGAAATGCCTCCTTCTTATTTCCATGAGAACTATAACAGATACAAAGGGTACAATGACACTGTTTGATAGAGTAAATTCTCAGCTACAAAACACTATTTTTCAACACAGTCAGCACCATAAACTGTGCACTTCTGCAAGCAATGAAACTGAGCCTGCATGCTGTGCTTGTAAAATTCTTCATGGTCATCTGGAATGTGGCTTGTCTCAGTTGCCACTCACACAACCACCACCACCGCACTGCACTCATATCCACTGTTGGGTCTCCATAAATGTTCAGCAAGTGTTGATGAATATCAGTGGGTGCCATATTTCCCACATGGATATTGGTGGGAAGGTTCAGTCTTTATTGCCATGCTGCCAATATCCACCTCTGACACTGTGGGCCAACGTATTAAAATAGGAGGCGCTACTTTTGGAGCAGCTTTAAGCATCTGTATTTTTTACATTTCAGTAAAAAAAAAAAAAGGACTTGTTAGCACCTGTGAAAGAATGACTATGAATGCCGAAGAAAGACCAGTCTACCTACAAATAGTTTATGATACAACCTGTACAAGCAGCTAACAGTATTGCTAACTAGAGACATAATTAAGCTAGTGACATTTAAGCGGGCTGGGGTGGGAGAAATTTCTCCATGGAATTAAGAGCTATTTTGATGTAGGAAATAAAAGAAGCCAAACGGTGTTGATAATTCCCACTTCAAAGACAAAATACTGATTGCATCAAGGTCAAAGGCAACAGTGCAGTTGTGTCCTGCAGAAACAACAAGGATGTGTTTTGCATTGATGATGGGCCTGTTTGTTAGAAACCCCATCCTAGGCATTATTCCTATGTAGAGCCTGAAAGAACTGACCCACTTTCCGCTGCCAATCCTGGTATACATTCTTCTGCTGCACAATCAAGTCAAGAATGTGTGACTGCATAGTCCTTCTGCAGATTCAGGCAGTATCTGCTTCCAACCCTCTCCTATTTCATCACTGTCCCAGATTTTCTTCCAAGATTCTATTAAAAAAAATAAGTTTATTCCTTCTTAAGCAAAAGAAGAAAAGTATGTGAGTTGCACAGCCAAAAAAGATGAGGAGCTGAATGTAGCAGAGATGAAAAATGATGCTGGCTTAAAATAAATGAAATGAAATGAGTCTGTAAGGAGGATCTAGAATATGTGAGAAACTACAAAACACCCTCATATCTGATAAGACATTCACTGAACTTCATCGCTTTCCTCACCTGCAGTTCTATCAAGTTGTTTGCAGAAGTGTGTAGGGACAAGCTTTTAAAAGGCCTGGGCTTCTTCCTTTTTCTTTTTTCTTTTTACTTATTTATTTGCCAGAGCCAAAAGGTCTCATGAGTTTCCAGTTTGAACATCTAGTCCAAATTCAAATGTGTGACATTGTATAAGCCAGTCCATTAAGGCTTTGCTATACCAGAATGTAACCAGAGCGTGACTTCCTAGAGATGCTTATAGTTTCAAAGAAGGAATAAGAAAGTCAGGAGATGTTTAACAACCAAACACTAATTCTTTTGGATATACTTTTTTTTTCCCATACAAAATAAGGCACCTTGTGATGTATTAGATGAGGCAATTTGGAAAGATTGATTAGTTCCCATGGAAAGAATAAATCTTAACACACAAGATCCCATTCAGAATTCAGGACTGAATCTGAAATGATTCAGGATTGGCAACATGTCATCTTCCAACAAAATGAGCTTTCACTGTGACCAACTACTAGATGACACAGAAACATGGTAATTAATAAGGCTAAAGCAACTATGACAGGAATAAATATTTTTTACATCTGGGTAGGCTGAGCCATGCAAAGGAGCCTCAAGAAATAGTCTACATGGGAGCAACTGATGCACAGCAGGAGTTGCCTGAAAGTGGTACCTCTCTGCCTGCTGTGAGGGAATCATCCAGGGAGAAAAAGAAGGAATAAAACTGGCTTGGGATGAGGGTAAAGGAGACTGCGAGGAGTGGTCTGGGAATAAGAGAGAGGCTAGAATTAAGTTTAAAAAGTAAACGTCGGATTTGATTGTTCTGGTCCGTTTCCTTTATGTGTCCATACTAGATGTTATTTAAGAGAATCCTCAAAGGCCACTCTAAGGATTGCTGCTGAGAATAAAGCGTCTGAGATGGATAATGTTCTTACAACAAAAGAGTTTAAAATAAAAGGTAGGAACGTTTTCTTGTAATAACTTCGTTGTATGGATTCTCTACCTGCTTTCAGTGAAGTTACTCATTCATTTACCCCATCATTCAGCTTAGAACCAGGACTTTCTTTAAAGTTCAGAAAGATGTAGTTCAGCAAGTTTCCTTCTGTGGAGAACTTAGGAGCACTGTTTGAGAGAAAAGCCCTTGAGGCTAACATGCTTTAGTTGGAGTTCTGCTGAACTGAATTTGCACATTAAGTACTGTACCTTGCTCTTGCTCGCTAAAGCATTCCTTGTTTAAGATGATGTGTATCTGTAAATAAAGGAGAGTGAGATACAGTGTCAGGACTTATGCTGTGTCATCTGTGAACAGGCCCTTTAGGCTGCTTGTGATGCCAAGAATTGCTGAGCTGTGGATCTGCAAGCCCTATTGCCATTTCTCAGCAGTTCTGCAACTGATTGAGAAGGCAGCCTCATAACACTAGAAAACTCACCAAGCCACGCTTCTCACAGTTGAATTTTCCACTTCAAGCTTACTTTGGACCCACGGCTAATATAAAACATCTTTAATATATGTAAGATACAAATCCACAAGTTCTTCAGTAATCTTAGATCTCTCTTCAAGAGCATTCTATTCCAAATAATGGAATATTAATAGAGGGGATAGACTTCCACTGATGAGTCAGTTTGATGAAATGTTGCCCAAATGTGTGATCCTCACAAAGGTAAGGATGTGTAATTGGACATTAGACTGATAAATTAAAAATTATGATTAAATGCCTGGTTAATGCCTGTGGGAGCTTAAATAGATAGCCTGGCTACAATCACTTCAGTTTTTACTGCAGTATATCCAGATTTGTGGACATACATAAAGGGGATCAGAATTTGTCCATTTCTGTTTCTATACTCTGCTTGGTTGCATACATCTATTAATGAAAAAGCCTTTGACAGTGATGTGTCTGTTTTCTCAGGAATCTAAACAGCAGTCACAGATCAGGAACCCTGTTTTGAATCTCCCTGTATATTTTTCTTTTCTCCTCAGTTCAGCTATACTCATTTCATTAGTTTGGGTCAGTTAGGTCAGACAGCTTTATAATTATCTCCCAGGACCAAAGCTCAGCTGAACTTTTAGTTTAGAACATTGTATCTCTGCCAGGACCTAGTGGTGTTATCATCTATTTCACTCCAAAATTATGAGGACCAATTCTTCAGTGTTTGTGTGTACTTTGTGTACCTGCCAAGTCCCCTCCTTCCGTTCCTTCAGGTAGTCTCAGAAGTGACTGATTATAAATGCTGATCTGACTCCGTCAGCTTTCAGCAGCACACCTGAGGTTCCCATTTTCTTTCATGGTGAACAGTTTTTCTTTCTTTCTTTGACTTTTTTGAGGAACTGATTCCAAAGATTTTATTCACAGTAGTTAACAGGTGTGAATTGGTGTTTTCTAGCATAAGTGTCTTGCTGGGTAGCCTTTGTTCACTTCCTGCTGCTTCCCTGCTCTATTATGGCAAAACTTACTTTAATAGAAGTTTTTTTAATGGTTTGTACAGTGTGTATTTTTAAAGCGTATTATGGAATAAAAGTGAATACCTATCAGAACAATGTGTTCCTATGAACCTTTAACAATTGGGCAGATCCCTTGATTTCAATGGACACAGTCCAGAACAAGGGACTTGTACCACCTGAGCAGGAGTGCTAGAATCTGGCCCTCAACAGATGCAGTTTTGTTTCCACCAGCATGTGCCAATTAAAATGATTCTGCTGTAATAAAGTATCAGGAGACAGAAAAAGAACCACCGTGAACTGAGGTAATACTGAAGAGTTAGATGCCTTTTCAGTTAACACAGATCCCCTGCTCCATTGGTGATCAATGGCAATAATGACATCCACTTTCCAAGGTAGTGCTGGGCTGCTGAGGGCTGATTCTGAAGCCAGTGGCTGGTGTGAGTTGTTGAGGGATATTCAAAGACCATGTTAGATGGGCGGCAGGAAGATCTGAAGCCAGTGGAGATGTAGAACAGAAATAATAGAAGGTGGGATAAGAATGACACCATTCCCAGAATGTCTGAATTAAGAAGGAAGGCAGGAAATGTTGAACTGTGTTTGAAATACTTTGTCTGCTCAGTACAGTAATTGTACAGCATATCAGTCATTAATGCCTCAAAAATGAATATGAAGAGCTCAAAAATTTAGTTCAGTGGTTCATAATGGTAATTGTTTTAGATGGCGAACAACAAACCTCTGACAAACGCTTTCAAATTTCTCTTTGAACAGAAATATGTAACTGCTAAGTTAGGCCTCCCACTCTTTACACCTCTTTAATGCTTCTTGACATGACTCACCTTAGGGATGTTCCTTCTGATTTCCATAATTAAAGGCAAAATGAAACAGTTACTGGTACTTAAAAAAATTCTTATCTGTGAACATTTAGGGAGAAGAATGCCTGTGCACTTTGGGTACTTTACTTTTATCTGTTTCTCTTTACTATGGTTAACATTGCTTGTTTAAACAAGAACTACAATGCTTGTATTTGCTGACTCCATTTCTGTGCTGGTTGCTGTGGCACAATTTCAAGCTGCTTTCAGTGTTACAGTATTTTCAGGATTTTACTGCTGTAATTACGACATTTGCCCCTCACTGTTCAGTTTATGTCTCTATTTTTTGCTTGAGAGTTGTAATTCTAGGGTTAGATTTTTTCGTACGAGTCCATTTAAAAACTGATAGGAATGGGAGGAATTCAGTATCAAGTAGTACAAGGAAAAAAAAAAAAAGAAAAAAAAAAAAGATTTTGCCAGAGCAAAGAAAAACTGCACACAGAAGTTGAGAAATCTCTTTGCTGCATCACCTATGTGCTACATTACAGCACTTCTACAGTCTTCAACTGTGTTTCCTTTTCTCTCGCAAACTTCCACCTCTGTTAATAGCTCTCAGGCTTATTTTTTCCCATAGATTTTATAACAAACTTGGCAAAACACCTGATGCTGGCAGAGTCCGGAATGAGACCCTGTTAAAAAAAGAGAAGGTTTTTTCTTTTGAAGTAGAGAGCTCTTCAAAACTGAAGCTCTTTGTGAACCTGCAGAGGTTCACTCCCAAAAATAGAGTATCAAATCTAGAAGTAACTTTCTATGGAGTTAGGCACTGGAATTTAGCCAGTGACCAGCAAGATGAAGAGACTTGTAGAAATATTTTGCAGAAATATTTTGAACAAAGAAGCAGTCTTTCTTGAAAGTGAAATATTTTGCAACAGAATCTGCCATTTGTACAGTTTGGCTCATTTATTTCTTCAATTTTCAGTATGGATACAGAAAAAGAGAAGAATATAGTCTGGCATCCCCATCCCACATACAAGCTCAAGCTTGAACGTGTAGAATCATTTTGCCTGGAAATAGACATTTTGACTCTAAGCATTCTCTTAAAAATAGTCATATGGTCGTTTTCAAACAGTTAGAAGAAAAATTAACATTTTGAAAGTTGATGCAAGGTATCTTGTGTCTTCCAGATAGCTCTATTCATGTGTTCTTTAGCTGCCACAAGCAGAACTGTAATTCAGCAATTACCTGCATTTCATTCACATCTTCCTTTCTCTGTTAAATCATGAACTCACGTTTCCACTTTATTAGCATTGGATAAATGGCCAACTATGTCTACAAGCCTTGTAATGTGTAAATTACCCTAGCCAGCTCTAAGAAGGGATATGTGTCCATAAAAGTGAATTACTCACAGATCACAAAGGAAACTGCCTGTTCGAAATTATTTCAGAAGGTCTAATTATCTCCAAAATGTAGGATTGGTTTTGTGCTGTTGAAATTTGTTAATATCCCCCAAAATGCTTTTGGCGTTCTTGTATGCACAGCAGGAAAATCAGTATGGAACAGGAACTAGTTTTTAATAAAACTTGAAAAGCACAGCTTAAGGTCCTTGCTGAGCTATAAGTGCTGCTGAACTATAAACATGAGGTTGTAGGCCTCTCAAGCCTGCATACTGACTTAGGGTATTAACATATGGAAAAGGCACATGAAAAAGCAATTATAGGAAAAATTGGGTTTAGACTATTGGTATTATTAATTAGAAGTGAATAACACTGATTTAAAAATTTGACACTTCAGAAATGGCAAAGCAAAGCAATCTCTAATGTGTCTGGAATTCATATTACCTGTCCAAGCAATTTTCTTTCTTCTTCTGTAAGTGCACAGTATTGTTCATTTCAATGAGATATTACAGACAGACACTAGACACTCAATTCCCCCTTCTTCAGACAACTGGGATTTAAATATCCATTCAGTTCGGTAAATGATACGTCTATCACAAAACTCCTTTTTAACTCTATGTCTACAGTTGAAAACATATGGCTGATATATAATTAATAGGCATTTTACATCCTTCTGAAGAGCAGAAATGTGTACTTTTTTTTAATTTGTGATACAGACAGTGGGTGACTGGCACTGAATGTATGTAAAAATGATAGCTCTACATGAGGGAGGAAAAAAGATCTTTTACAAGAGGGTTAGATCAAAGACAATGAAGTTGGTAACATACTGAATATTATTATCTACTTCTGTCTTATATTAAGACTGAGTAGGTTTCTCCATCAATAGAAAATGTTTCTTTGTTATCCACATATCTGATTTGATTTCATTTTTCTTGAATTACGTTTCAGTACGAACACTAGGTGTGTGCTGAGAGTGGTTTGTACAGAAGAAATAGCGATCTGGAGGATTGTGACCTGCATGTTGTATTGGGCAGGCGTGTTAAACCCAGTTGATGTTTTTCTTCATCTTCAGTATCTGTACAAGGGGTGCAACAGAGTTTGCTGAATGTCCTGAATGGAATTTCTGGCGTTCAATGCTGAAAATATAAATGGAGCATTGAAGTAGCGTAAATTCACAACAGAAAAGTTAAAGTCTTAGATCAGTATTTAGTATTAACAATATCAGAATATCCTTTTCTTCCAGGTTCAGTCTTGCAAGATGTGAATATAAGAAGCTATTTTCAACTGAAAAGTCCATGGAAGAGATTTCGGAACAAAGAGGAGAAAATACATGGTTTAGTAGGAGCTATTGGGAATAGGTGAACGGTTGGACTGGGTGATCTTTTAGGTCTTTTCCAACCTTGGTGATTCTATGATTCTATGAAAATCAACAGGATCTAATTGTGAGGAGCAGATGATACATCTCCAGGTGGAACTCAAATGTGAAATTGCAGAAGTTTGTCTTTGGTACCAAGTAAGTAAGTATTAATGCAGTTTTGATGAGAATAAATACAATTTTCTAGGAGCTCAAAGAACAACATAAGTTAAGATTGTGTGATCAAGGTACTACATCTGCATTTCCAAAAAGCCATATAAAGTATCCCTCACTCAAAAGGTTTTTAAGTGATTAAGTTCTTAATAAGTAAATAAAAGAAAATGAGTTGTGTTAATGCCTGAATAAAAGTAGGAGACAGGGGTAGGAAAAAAGTAACTATTTTCACAAAGAAGAGGTTGCTAATGGAATCATAGAGACTGTATTATGTATAAATGTATAAATACATTTTATAAAGGGTGGAGGATGATTCAGATGGTGTCACTGTTTGCAGATGGTATAAAAGTATTCAATATTAATAGATCTATGGGAGGCTGTTAAGGATTGGATAGGATTTTGGTGACAAAGTGATGATATAGGACATTCAGGATATGTTTCTGTTACTTGCAGATAGGTATCTAGAGTCATTTTAGGGACTCTCTGGCATATCCATACAAGAATTTGATATATCCACATGAGACTAGCAGAGGTAAGGCATTATGTTTACTCTGATGCAACTTTAAGTGCCTGAAACTGAAAACTGAACCTCATCTTTAATGCTCAGTAATGTATCCCGGTACAGAGAAAAATAACTTTAACCCTATGAAAAAAATGTCTTCCAAAATGTTTAGGTAAGTGGTCTTGGAGTCTATACAAATGATTCTCTGAAAACATCAGTACTGGTCAAAATTGCAAATTAGTAAGCATTATTAGCAAAGAGAAAAAGGGGAAGAAATCCAAAGGACTCTGCTTCTGCATAAACCTGTATAATGGCAACGTTAAGGGCACTGTGTCTGGTATTGATTGCTCCATCTCCAAGAACATACAGGAAAACTGGGAAAGGATTTCAAGGACGACAGAAAGAATGAGTTTAGGTAGTTGAAGACTCTTAACCTTGCAAATTTCATGTCAGAAGAGAGATAGGGGACAAAACTACAAAAACATGAATAATACCAGAATGTGAACTGGGAACAGTCACTCACAGTGCAAGATGCAGAGCACCCAAACCAAAGGAGCCTTTTAGGTTTAAAATGGAGAAAATGCTATCGTTTGTGGATTTCAGTTCTCCAAGAAACTGTACAACTTAGATGAGCAGGAGGCATCATGGAGTTTACTAAGTTTCTAAGTCAGTAATAACCAGAGCGTGGGAGGAGGAAGTGTAGAAAAAAATCTTTCTGCACATCACTGTCTCTGCTTTCCTCTACCAATCACCAGTGCTGGAGCCAAGAAACAGAGCTATGGAAAATTTGGCTTAGCCAGCATGACAGCTTCTGTGCTTGATCCCTCCCCTTGATCTGTAGTGCACTTAAGAACCTGCAGTAAGTGTGCAGGGTCTTTCCTTTCACATATACACAGATGAAAGCCAAGAATAATATTAAAAAGATCATGTGCTTAGAGAAAGATAAGAGCCCTTCAGGAGTCTCCCCTCAAAAAATTTCGTTGGCTCATATTTGGCTATATTAATTTTGAAACAGAACATAACGTTGTATGACTTAAACTGATAGTTCTGACTGTATACAAGCATAGAATCATCAGTGAGTTAGAGATACCATTGGAAGATGAGGGCTTTTCATCAGTGAAAGAAATCTTATACAACCGTTCAGGACAGCAGCTATATAAAGGAAACTATCAATGTATGAGTGCATACTGTATTCAAATTGCAGAAATTAATTAAGAAGATAAGGATTATGCTACTGTGGGGAGAGAGGGGAAAAGAAAAAAAAAATTCAAAAAGCCAAAATCTTCATGGATTTTAATGACCAGCAGTACTCGATGTTGATGTAATAGCTCCTGTTTCTGGTTGGTTCAGTAAAAATGTTTTAAATTTGCAGACATTGTGCATGCATTTATGTATTTATGCAATTACTTTTTATATATTATTTTATATTATAAACTTAATTATACATATTATCTCAATATATCTTCTGCTAATGGAGAATATGTTCTGTACATATGCATAGCTCTATTTGGAAAAAAAAAAAAAAGTCTTTTTCATATTTCTTTTGTGTATTTTTATATAGAGCATATAATTTTTTTCTTATTTTGCCTAGCCTGAGCAAGGGCAAGATGAGTCAAAGACGTAACTGATATCCTTGTGATAGTGTTTGAATCCCCACAGCATTGAAGCTTGACATCCCTCCCTAACAGGTCATACTGCTGCACCAAAAATACTGCCACTGCAGCAGCCTTGCCTGCTGACAGTCCCTTTGCCATTTTTGGCACTCGGGCTTTGGAGTGTTACTGTGTGAAAGCTAGGAGAAAGGAAGGGTATAATGGCTAGCAATATGCAACAAGTGTGTGGGTGAAAATGAATGATTTGGTATCACAAGGATGGCAGAGGAGTCCCTATTGGAAAACTGGTAAGGAGCACCGACGCTGCAATTAAGTAGGCAGAGGAGTCCCTACAATATATGTTAAAACCTAATATCTGTTTCCCTTTTGTGAAAGACTTTGCCTCGCCTAGACAAGAAAATGAATGTCACTAACAGGAAGCCCAGTTACTTCTCACTCAAATAACATCTTTATCAGGCAATTACTAAACCAACACGGTGATGTATCTCCAGCCAGGACGACTAATGTGTGGGACTGTATATCTTATGTCTCAGGTAAATTACTGCCTCAGACATTTTACAAGAAATAATAAATGCTCAGTAAGGAATAGTGGTAGGGGGAAGAAGGCCAGCAATAAAAAGGTACACTTTGGTACTTCATAAGGATTAACAATTCAGAGAACTGGAAAAAGTCAAAGCAGAATTAGGCATAGCAAACCAAATTAAACTGATGGCAGAAGCTTTTTCAGTCATATTGGGAGGGAAATGCACAAGAGAATCACTATGCATTGAGGATAGAGTAGAAATTCAGATAATCTAGACGTGACTCAAAAAATTAAATGAAGACTTTAAGAATAATTTAAAAAAAAACTCAAAATGGGAAAAATGAGATTGAGTGGAACATGAGTTTATTTTTAAAAAATCATGAAGATAAACTTGTTGTCTTACTCTTTTATTTTAATGACATCTTGATTTTTGAGATAATGCAAATGTGTTAGTTTCAACCTGTCTGTTTTTTAGTCAAGTGTTGGGTACATTACTACATGGGGAATTATTAGTTAAATTAGAAAAGATAAGGACAAGTATCAGGACTGCAATATAAGTAAGGAAGTGTCTGAAAAGGAGATGAGAGTGAGTTAAGTTGAAAGGATTTTTTTCTCTCTCTGGAGAAAAGTTACCAGTGGAGTTCCTTTAGGATTGGTCTGGGGATTAATTTTATTTAATATTTTCCTTAATGACCTAGGCAGAAGAAGTAGGAGTGTACTAATTAATTTGCTGATGATACAAAACTGGGAGATGTCACGAATACAGAGGAGGATTGGAATATTATACAGGAAGAATTAAATGACCTTGAAGTCTGGGGTAATAGAAATGGGATGGAATTTAAGGTCATGCTCTGCAAGGTCATGCACTTCGAGACTAATGAAAAGTATCTGCTATGAACTGTAGACTCATCAGTGGGAAATGGCAGAGGAAAACCACCTAGTTCTAACAGTCAATCATAGAATTACTATGAACTAACAGTGCACTTAGACCACAGAAAGGGAAAATGCAATTTAAAGATATATCGAGGAATATATTTTTAATGGAGCAAATGGAGTATTCACACCATTGATCAAGATGCTTGTTAGACATCACCTTGAATTCTGATTATCTGTGTCTGCAGTACAAATATATATTTTTTTGTTTTATTTTTTAAAACAGGTGCAAAGAGTGAGTAATGTGGTGATCAGAGGAAAGGCTGACTGTCTGGAAAGAAGCTGGGCCCAGTAAAACAGAGGTTGAGAGAGGACACAGTGGCTATCTATAAATATATTATGAGGTAAACCCCTGGGAGAAAGAAAAGCTCATGAAATTAAACGATAATTTTGACATGAGAACAAATGGGCATAAATTGGCTATGAATATATTTGGACAAGAAGTGTACAGGAGGTTTCTAGACACCAGAGCCATCAGTATAGGAGTGTGGGAGTAAACACAGAACTGGAAAGATTTTTTAGCTGGGCTCATGCCATATAATTCATGCGCTGGCATGTTCTTGAACTTCTGGTCAGGTCTGTGCCCTGTTTTTCAGGCAGTCTTGCTCTATAGACCCTTCCTTGGTTTACTACAATTTCTAGCAAATTTTTCATTGTACTTGTGGATATATTTTATAACATTATCCCCTTGATACAATACCAATGCTACACAATATATTTAGTTTGTCTATTCTCTTCTCAAGCAGCAATGACCAGAACAATGGGATGAAAAAGAAATAAAACTGCCATGTTTCTTTATATCAAATGTGTTATATAACAGCAAAAATTTTAATTAATAATTAGGTAATACACAAACACCTTGAGTGACATCCACTCAGAAAATACATCCAGAAGTAAAAACAAATTCACTGAAAGACAGACTGATTTATTTTTAATATTTTTTTCTTTCCATTCAGTATATTTCTACAAACTTTTCATGTTTCTTCACTACCAAACAATTGTAATGATGGCCCATCATGATTGCTACTAAATTCTTATGTTCATCTGTTTCTTCTCAGACAAGAATTGCACTTGCAATAATGATAGGATTGTCTGTTTGTTTGTTTTGTGTGGACTACAAACTTTGATATTTTATAACAAAAAACTCTTTTTTTTTTCCTCAAAATATAAATATTCTCTTTTCTTAAGCAGACCACAATTGTTAGGTTATAAATCTGCAGTTTTATGTCATTGCTTTCAACAAGAACAATGTGGGAAGGAGGAGGAGGGGGGTTAGAACTCAGTTTTCTCTCTGTTGAATGACATGGCTTAATCATAATGAATGGAAATAGTCCCAAGGTTATGTACTGTATTTGTGCTGTAAAATCAAAACAGTCATATTGTGCCTTTAATGCTGTCTCAAATGGATATTCTCATTATTGCGTTCTGAGAAATGCTCTACCTAGTATGTCTCAAATCTCATTCTAATCATTACAAATTAACAATACAGAGGTTGAAAAGCAGCAGCAGCATACTCTGATACCAAGTAAATAATGACAACCTTGTGCATCCCAGGAGAAGGGCCTCGCTTTCCAATAAACCAGTAATTTGAGCAGGTTTCTAACTATCTGATTGAAGTGTTACAACTATTAAAAGTTCAAGATATCTGCATCTAACTATTACTGCATCTAACAGATATTGAATTACAATACTTACTCTGTGCAACCAGCAGCTTATTCTTTTTGTCATGTGCTGTTGTGTTGTGTTTCATCAACTTCAGAGACAATGATGCAAAATAATGCAATGTGACACCATGAAATACAATAAGAGGTGACATAACACATTAGAAATTTAAAGAATGAAAAGCTTCGGTCAATTCAGGAAACAGGAACCCTGTCCAAATTTATTGTGACAAGTAAGAACAGTGCAAACACTGAACACTGTTCTCAAACCAGAGGGCACCATTGTTTTCTGACCACCCAAATTGCTCGCAGATACTGCCGTCATCTTTATTTTTAGTTTGATTTAATATGCGCGGGGCTGGGAGCTTTCTCAGTTTGGGTTGTGATTTTGTTGTTTTGGGGTTTTCTTCTCCCCTTCGCCCAGTCTGGCATTAGTATTGAAATATGTAAATTGGCATCCAAATGGCTTGGAGTGATTGTCAGCAACTTTCCATTCCAAACAAACCCCTTTCTTGACATTTCACAGGGATGCATTGCTAACATGCTTCCAAGGATTTTGTAAAAATCCAATTCTCTGAACAGAGGCTCAAAATAGGTGAACAAAAAAGCATCTGTGTTAGCAGAAAAGAAGCATTTTCAGTCCATATCTATGGTATGCTAATTGAAATTGTAGAAACAGGCTGCTTTCCTGTAGAGTACTAAAATGAATTGGAATATGAAACAAGTCTCTTAAATCTGACTACTCTAGACTTTTCTTCCTCACATTTTCACTGTCTTCTGTTCATATCTGTCGGATGATATTTAGGTCTGCATTAATGGATTAAAGGCCACATTGATCTCAGTTGGAAAATATGAGTTGCTGTTGCTGATCACCCTATGATATTGCCAAAGCCTTCTCCTTTGCTAGTAAAGTCAAATTCTATTGAAGTCTATCCCAAATAGTCATCTGTATAAACAATGATATTGTGATTCTAAACTTCAAGCACATTTTCTGACCAGCTGTACTAACCATTTTTATGTATGTTTCATTTAAGGGCAGCAATACCATGCCGTGAAGTCAGACAATGAAGAGATTAAATCTATTTTTGTAAAGCCATTTTAGGGCCTAGATGGTTCATTTGATCAGACTCTGGACTTTCATCACAGGGAAAAGCAGTTCATATCTGGCCTTGGCTGTTGTGTTCAGAAGTAAACTTCATGGGATGCTTGTAAAATGAGTACAGAGGTTCTTGGTTTACTTGTCAGCAAAGTGCAGAAGAATAGGGAGCTGCCAGATGAAGGTGAAAATTAAGTCTCCTGAAAAGGATTATTAAAAGTGCAAAGCTCATAGAGCACCTAGCTAAATGAATAACAGACAGGTGACTGCTAAATATCCCACATCTTCCCCAGCAAGTCAAACATTAAGTAGTACAGCAAATCCTTCTAAATCAGTAAGTGCAATAAAAATCTCTGTGGTGATTTATTTTTTGTGCACTAAAGGATAAAATCCAGTGTTCACTGAAATGAATGAAGAAATAAATGAATTAAATGAATGCACTCGTGCTACTACTGCCAATTAAAAGAAATAAAATAATTCTGGGACAGATCCTTAGATGAATTACACCTCCGATTAGCTCTGGTAGATGAGTTTAGTGATAAGTCAGATAGTAATGTGCAGTATTATTTTCCAAAGCTGAAAGTGTCATTAACTGAGTTTGTTAACTAATTAATTAATTATTGGTCTGAAAAAAAAAATAGATTCACCTACTTTTTAACATGAATTAGGATCTAAATGGGTACAGTTATTAGAGGAAAAATGAGATCTGAAGTGAACGTAAGGCTGCTTAGATTTCTCAGTCATCGCCCATGAAATTCTGATGTGATTTAAAGCCAACTTTTAATGTATTTGGATAACTAGCCACTTTTAGAATTCTTTTAAAATGTGGCCTGTAAGTGTTATTGGCTATTTAATTACAATCATATGATCACGATACCAAATTTTCAGTACAGCCAGGGAAACATTTCAGAGAACAGTTTCCAAGTTTCCATGTAGTCAAAGGGCAACTTAATTTGTGTTTTCAAAATCTGATTAGAATGCAGATTTTTTTCCTCTTTATAATTCAGTGAATATTACGAGCTTAGCAAGTTAGAACTGAGTAGCAAAAATCGATAGGCTTTCCATGAGTTAATTGCTAGATGATTCATTAAAAATAATATTTCCTTTAAAAATGCAATAACTTAGTTTGTAGTTTTATGGAGTAGCCAAATTATTGTCAGCCAGTGAGATTCTTTATATACCGATAGAGTCCTTTCTATAAAAACATACACAAGGAACTCCATATAGGTAAAATGTAAAATGTGTAATGTATACTCAGCTTTAGCTGGTGACTGAAGAAGGCTTCAACTGGTTTCTGGGGCTGTATCTTTAAACACACCCTACAGCATGTGTGCAGACGCCACGAAGAAACCTCTGCTGTACCTGTGCACTGCTTGTTCCATGCTCATCACAGCAGAGGAACAAAGAGCAATTTGCAACTGGCATGGACTACTGCTTATATATTGTAATTTATGAATTCTACAGTGAGTAAAACGGCTATGTATTCCCTATTCTTGCTGATTCCAAGTGCAAGTTCCTTTGTAATACCCTGCCAGTTGAATGAAAATGATGGTTTGGGGGAGGAGGAGATATGCCCGTTTATTCCTTGGTTTCTCAGCTACAGCTGCCAAGAAGAGAACAAATTGTAGTGGTGTGTTCTGCGATATGGACATGTGCCCAGTGAATCTGGATAAGCCCACTAACCATGTTCTGTTTAAGTCACCAGACAGCCATCAGATGGCAATGACTTTCAGTCACCAATGACCTGTCCACATTTGAACCTGTGGCCCAGAGGTGGAAGGTTTTGTGTAACTCAGTGCTTCCCTGAGCTCGCCAGTTCACGCTTTGATAAATGCAGTCAGAAAGAAACAAAAATATTCTCTAGACAATACTGGCTATATGCAGACTCTTGAATCAGTTTTTCCACTGGTTTCTGCAGCTATATTTGTGCCATAAGCACAAATATAACTTCAAGTACAGCCAGTATTGAAATGATTTACACCAGCTGTTGGTAGAAACTATTGAAATATACACAGGTTGATGGATGGCTGGATCGATAGATTGCTCTTTTCCATTGAGTACATTCTAACCATTGGCTTTTGGAAGAAGTTGTCTTGCAATTTGTAAGACCCATTAGATGACAGAGCTGGCTGTTGCCTAGGGTGGAGGATTGGTTTCTTAGTACTTGCCTGTGCAAGATTTAGAACAAGAGCAGGAAAGGTGTATGAGTTGTATTGGATTTTGAAGTGAAATGAGAAGTACTGTCTGCATATGCACCAAAATAAATATGGATGACTTGTTCTGAAGGCAGCAAAAATCCTGATAAAAGAGCTTATCTGGTCCACGAAGTTAAACACTACTTTTATGAGTGTTATTTTGGCATATTCATGTATTTTTAGTATCAGCTTGAAATCATAAAGTGATTGTGAAATAAGTTGCCAATATTTCAAGCAATGCTAATGTTGCTAATTTTTAGGAATACCTTTTAAATTCAGATTCAAAGAATTGAGTATTTTTTTTCCTCTTATCCATTCAAACTTCCAAACAGGAAATCAGATGTTAGGAAACTGAGCTGCTTCTTTTCCAGACTGAACAGCCAGGAGATCTG